TTTGTAAGATCCATGAAATCCTTAGTTGAAATACTTTAACATTAATTTTCTAGTACTCTTTATAATAAACATATAACTATCTAATATTTCTGCCTCAGCTTCCCGAGTAGCTGAAGTTACTGATGTCTGCCACCATGCCCATCTAATTTTCATATATATATATATATATATATATATATATATTTTTTTTTTTTTTTTTAGTAGAGATGGGATTTTGAGGCAGGTTGATCACTTAAGGTCTAGACTTAGAGATGGCATATTCTAAAAAGCCCACTCTGTAGAATATGAAACTGGACTGAAAACCATACAAATTAGGACCAACATTTTAGCAAAAATGAGTTAAAATCTAAGAAAGATGAGAGGGGAGGATTTTAGGGGGAAGTTAGCAGATAATTTTAAGTATGCTGATACTTCATTATCCTACTTAAGTAGGATAACTTAAAGTATGTCAGTAGTTGGAAGAAAAGCAGTGAGCAAGGACAGCTGATAGAGCAAGTCTTCAATTAACTGGGCTTACAGTAGTACAAATAAAGTGTTAGTATTGGAAAATAATACAAAAACCTTTCTGAGTTGAGGAGGTAAGAAAATGTATGAAGACAGAAATTGCACAGTGGAGATACATTAGACAAAACTATTTTATATCAACTGGGAAGAACATAACTTTTTTTTTTTTTTTTTGAGGAGTCTTGCCCTGTTGACCAGGCTAGAGTGCAGTGGCGTCACCTTGGCTCACTGCAACCTCTGTCTCCCAGGTTCAAGTGATTCCCTTGCCTCAGTGTCCTGAATAGCTGGGATTATAGGCACACGCCACTATACTGGCTAATTTTTGTATTTTTAGTAGAGATGGGGTTTCGCCATGTTGGCCAGGCTGATCTCGAACTCCTGACCTCAGGTGATCTGCCGCCCTCAGCCTCCCAAAGTGCTAGGATTACAGGCGTGAGCCACCATGCCCAGCCACAGACTCTTATATATAACATGTAAAACCATTCATATCAAAATTCATTTACGGGAAACTTAATTGTCTCAGAGCTAATTTGCTTGGTAAATTTTCCTAGTCATCTGTAGCAGCTCTGTTAATTGTTCAAGACCAATTTCAGGAGGTTTAATAAAATCACTGTCTCAATCTTACAGTGCCTTCTGTGATTTCCAGGTTTTTCTTGAGTGCATGAGTGGCAAACACTTCTTCCCAGTAGAACTCTCTAACAGCCATAGAAATTTATGAAAGTTATTGGTGTAGGTTACATTTAAACAGATCAGGTCAATGAAGATCTAGCTTTATTTAGAAGACTACTTTATGAAGCAGTCTGTTATAAGACTTCTTTAAATAGCAAGATCTCTAGTAAAGGCATTAATTTATTTGCAGTTAAAAATGTATTTGTCTTAATCTAAATTCATATGCCTTGCTCTGAGCCTTTGTACATTCTCTTCCTTTCCCATTAATTGGCTTTTACTCATTTTTTTTTTTTCCAGTCTATGCTAAGCTTCAAAGTTACCAGCTGAAGTCTCCTATCATTTTCTTCATGGCACTTACTACAAAATAATTTTTAATGTAATTCTTTTAATATATACATCCCCTGACAGATTGCAAGCTTCAAAAGGGAGGAGAGAGGCCATATATGTTGGGTTCTCTGTAATATAGCACCCAAGTAATATAGTGTTTGGCCTATAGTAAGAGTCCAAGAAATATCAGTGACATCATTTAAGATCTTGTTGTTAAAAGAATACAATCTCTTGGTAAGACATAATAAGAAATCTTTGCACACACATCCTTACCTAAACTCCAGGAAGCACTATAGGTCTCAATTCACAGAACAATGTACCATTTCTTATACAGATTCTAATAACTGGATCTTGCCCTTAAAAGGAAACAGTGATAGTGAAGAATTTGAAGTGGTTGAACACAAATCTCTAAATTACTGCACCTCTGCATTTCCATTACCCACATCCCCTTTTCCAACACGCAAGAGATAAATGCGGGAGACGAGATGGGGGAAAAAAGTGAAAGATAAATTATCCTTTGAAAGGAGGATTACTAGACAGCACTGTTATATTTGCCAGCATACAAAAATGGAGATTTGGAATGCCACTCCCCATCAAGCAATTGAAAAGTGTTTTAACAATTCAGCATTACAGGGAATAACTTTAGAAGCACGTAAAGAGTGGCCAAAATGTACTGTTTTAAGGATAATTTCAAAGACAAGGAAGATATTAAGGAGAATAACTGCTGCAGCAATTTTAGGACTGAGCACTTGTACCTTTTACAGCAGTGCAGAGAAGAGGCAGGAGGAGGAAAATTTGACAGAGATGCATGATAAAGGAAAATAGGCTCATATCCACTAATAAATACTGCATGCTGACAAGAGTACATTACCAAAATTGAGAGAAGAGTAATCAGTTGGTAATCAAAGTGGTGAAAAGAGGAACCACTAGATCAATGCCTGAGACTGCCACAATGAAGGCAGGAAAGAGAAGGAAGGGCACAAAGCTACCTCTATCAGCTGTATCCATAAGACAGAGATAAAAGGTGGCCAGAATGCTAGGAAAGCTCAAGGTGTACCAGACATTTTGATAGTAGGGAATAAAATAGCACAGAGAAGCAGGTTATCAGAGGGCAGGACACACGGTACCAGCAGGGAGAAGTTACAAGCCTTGAGGGCAGTACACACTGGAAGCATTCACAACTGAGTGGTGCTGATCGCTGGCTTCACTTCTTTTAACTGATTCTTCTCCCTCACTACATTAATCTTCCTAGCATTTTTCAAAAGCCCTATCTGAATTTAGTTTTTTCTTTTTTTCACATTTGTACTGCAATGTGTATTTAATATCACCTAGGAGAGACTCAAATTTATCAATCTGCTGCACTGCTAAAAGTCAGCTGAGTGGCCTGGCCAACATGGTGAAACCCTGTCTCTACTAAAAATACGAAAATTAGCCAGGCATCTCCTACTTAAGAGGCTGAGGTAGGAGAAGCACTTGAACTGAGGAGGAGGTTGCAGTGAGACGAGATCACGCTATTGCACTCCAGCCTGGGAAACAAGAGTGAAACTCTTTCTCAAAAAAAAAAAAAAGGGCTGAGTGAGGAGGATAGTATAGTAGACCATCTTCTTTTTCTCCTTTCTGAATGAGAGACTTAAGCCTGCTAACAGGTACAAAGTTCTTTCCAGAGTCTAGTCCTCCTGTAAGCCTAAGGCCTGCTACTTGAGGTTATCTTCCTTGCAGTTGTGACCTTTCTATCTCAAATGCTTGTTCTGGCTTTTAAAAGATCTTAAGGTTGGCAACTTGGGCTTAATTACCTAAGTCCAGCTCAGTGGTTTTCAAACTGTGTTCCGAGGAGATGCCTCTAGCATAGAGTTGAAGTGGAGTGGTGAGGCCTGGCCCTCCTGAACTTAGTTCCACCAGAGTATGCTGCTTTACATATTGGGTTTCAGGTAAAAATTTATGGGAAGAAATTGTTCCACTCCTTTAAAACATTTGAAAATCACAAGTTTGGATAATAGTTTTAAAGTCTGGATATTGCTTTGTATATACAGTCAATACTTACTGCAAAACATATTTCATTCAAACCATTCAGTTTAAGACTGGGTCTTCAAATCGACAAAAAGTGTATTTTTTATGTCTCCTTTCCCCATCCCCATTTTACTGATGCTAAAACGGGAGTGTCGCAGTCAACTGGGTCCAAGCACGGTGGCTCAGGCCTATAATTCTAGCACTTTAGGAGGTCGAGGCAGGAGAATCGCTTAAGCCCAGGAATTCGAACTTACAGTGAGCTATTATAACGCCACTGCATTCCAGCCACGACGACAGAGCAAGCCTGTCTCTTTAAAAAAAAAAAAAAAAAAAAGTCATCTCCTTATTTAATTTAGCCTTTAAGAACACTGGGGGATTAACAAAAAATTACGTATATCCAGGTACTGGTATGTTTTTCACCATCACATGACAGTCAAACTGGGCATGACCAAAACTAGGTGTGTGTGGACTGGCACACGTTGAGAGGTTAAGACTGACAGGTGGAAGCAAAAGGTGTGCTGACACCAAAGTGAGAGCTTGTCTCTTACAGAATCCCAGACTCAGCAGCACATTTCCTAACGGAAAGGGCTTCTCTGTCTGGAAGAGGCCTCCACTTTACTCTCAAGCTAAATCTGATCCTGGCTTCGGGTAAACCTTCAAGTCCCGGCTCTCAGTGGATGAGCAGGCTTCCTTTAGGCAAGTAGATTAGGGGTCGCCTCTTCCTCGTCTCGGGGTAAGGGCAAACAAGACGGTAGGCTTGGGCGTTGTGACGACGGCGACAGGGACGCTGGGAAAAGGGGTAGAATCCACGCCGTTCTGCGGCCCCCGGGCCTGTCAGCTCCTCACCCGCCCACCTACCCGCCCGCATTCTTCGGTCTAAACTTACCAGGTGGAAGCTACAACTCTAGGCAGGAAGTAACTAACTGGGTTGGGTCCGGTCGAGTTCCGCTGAGCTCCTTAGAGCCGCTGCTGGGAAGAGGCAGAAACCCAGTGGCCGCAGCAGTCGCCACCGCCTCTGTTACTGGGGGGTCTCGCCTCCATCGCTGGCTGCTGAGTCTGAGGGCACGTGACCGGAAATACCAAGGCGGGCCCTTGGGCACGTGACCCAAGAGCGCGGCCGCCATGACACCTTCCGCTACTTCCCTCCCTCCCCCACGGGTACCCGCCTGTTTCGTTTCCTCTCTCCGGTCTCGAGCGGTGAAGGGTCCTGGGATCCTGGCTGACCCAACCATTTGGCCTAGAGCTCCTCCGGTTCCAGTCCGCGCCGTGTCTTCAACCGGCAACGGCCCTCCGGCTGCATGCCGTAGACAGCGTAATCTCGACCGCGGCCTGAGGGGGAGGGACGACGCGCAAGGAGGGGGCGTGACTCATCACGTGACAAGGAAGTGCTGTTAGTAGCGTTGTCCCCAGGCCTGCGGCTCTCCTGGATGACGTTAGCAAGGAAAGGGAGGAACGGGAGGAGAGACTGAAGTTCACGTTCCGCTGTTAGTGCGCGGTGAGTTCCCCGGTGCTAAGCCGGGAGATTAGATCCCCTGAGACCTGCGAGGTACTGGCCTGGATGTGGTGGAGCTGGGACCTCCTGGCTGCTAGTATGTGAGCCTGGCTTTGAAAATTGGTTACTGAGTTTCCTCTCGAGATCTCAAGATATCAAAGTTACTGCTGCTAAAAAGGTAGTAGTTTCACTAGGCAAGGAGCTTTTTGTGGCCAGGGGTTGTGTTTTGTTCATCCATGTGTCTCCAGCGGTGTGTTCAGTGCCTGGAACATAGGCACTCAGAGTGTTGAATGAATGTATGAATGAGTCAGTCGCTATTTGTCCGGGGCGGAGAGTTGTTTTCTGATCATTTCTTCTTGGATAGAAAGATCCCATTGTGAAAATGAGGGAATCTGCAACTTCCCCTTCTTATTTCTTCTATATTTGCTCTCTTTCTTATTTCTTTCTCCTCTTTCTCCCATGTACCTACTGGGGCAAAAGAACATAGCTGCATTTGATGTGTGAGCAACAAACACTACTATTTTACGATAATGGAAAGATGATGGGATTTGGATTCAGAAGACATGTATTCTTATCTCAGCTTTACCATTTATGAGCTCTCACAGAAGTTGTTTCATTTACTTTGGTTAAACATTTGTCGCCAACTTCTATGTTCTTAGTTTTTGGTAGAGTGACCTCACAGAAGTAACATTTAAACTCAGCTTTGCAGAAAGATAGGGTTTTGGTAAATGGGGGAAGATTCCATAAACAGCATATATTAAACCATGGAGGCACAGCAAATTTATAGAATGAAAGAGAAAAAAAAAAAAAAAAGAGTTGAGTCCAATGTAGTTGGAGAATAGGAGAGAGGTTAAGATGGGAAATGAGGCTGGAAAAAGAGGTAGGGACAAGATAACAGATTATAAAGAAGTGGAACTGTTGAAGGTTTGTACAATTTAAGTATTTACCTTTAAAACTTCATTATAGAAAATTACAAATGTAGACAAAAGTAGGATAGTGAAATGAACCCTCGGGTACACTTAACCCAACTTGAACAATTATCAGCATTCTGCTGTTTCTGTTTATATTGAGTTTGTACATTTCTAGGTACTTTTTATATCCATTGTTGCATTTGATTAATAGCAGCTTTCAATTTGCTTAGCTACTGGCTCAGAAGATTTTATTTATGTAAACAGTTTTGTTGGGTTTTAGTTGACTCCTTGCTCTATTGCCTTGCTCTGTTGAATCAATAGTGTGACATGGCCACTTAAACACAGCTAATACTCTTTTAGGTTGTAATATAGAAACTTAGTGTCTAGATCCAGGAAGTTAGTGTTTCTACTCTACTCTGGGCTTATCCAACTACTTAAGGAGTGTTATGCTCAGTTCGAGGCACCTCATTTTTAGGCAAACTGAAGTGCCTCTGTAGAAGGTTGACTGAAACAGAGACAGGGTTGGAAAATGTCATGTCAGGAGTGATATTGGAACTGGGAATGTTCAATTTTTAGAAGACCTAATAATGCTTTTCAAATACCGAAGGATTGTTTTGGAAAGAGACAGCTTGTTTCCTTCAACTGTAGAAGCTACATACGATTAGGAATAATGCTAGAGCTCTAAGTGATCAGGCTTCAGCACAGTATTAAAAAGAACCTTCTAACAGTAGTGAGCCCTGTGGAGGAGTAGAATTGGCAGCTTCATGACAGTGTGCTTTCTTTCTATTGCTGAAAATGTTCAGGGATCTAGGGCAAAACTAATTTCTGAATTAGGTGGATACGTTCACTGAATTACCTATGAGTCTTTTTCCACCTTGAGAATTCTAGGAAGCAGGGCTCATGTGGGATCTTGAAAGCTGGGTATGTTTGGATAAGAAGACCTGGAACATAAATGTATAAAGTTCGAGTTGGTTTAACATTGTCATCCAGCAGCTTCTCTGAGAATTGGCATTGCTTATGCTGTTTTTATTTCTCTGTTAAATTTTTTTTTTTTTAAGTAGAACTTAACTAGGTGTGTCCCCCTCCCCACTGTTGTATAATAACTTCCAGGACTTTCTCTTTTCATAGAGATTAAGGCAAAATGACCTATCTACTTCAGAGTTTCTTTGTTTCAAGATCACAAGTAGAAGAGACACTATAATATTATCATTCCTTTCCATCCCTTTTGGATCCTGTATATGGTTTTATCTTTTTCTTGAATCTTCAGTCCCTTTCGTTCTAGACTCTACTTTTAGCTACTAGGTACAAGTCTGTTTAAGAGTCTCCCCATTGATGAAGTTAAGAGAGGTTTTCTCCTTTTCTACCAGACTTGTGAGTAATTGAAGTGTTTTATTCTTATTTTCATACCACCCACCCCCTTTCTCAAGTCTTTGTTTTCCAATGTCTAACCACCCACAGTACAGAAATTATGTGACCTCCCAACTCCAAATTCTTTAATTATTTTCTGTTCCCTGCCAAATTAAGTTCAGATTCTTTGGTTTGAAAAATTCAAAGTATTTTGTAACTTGGGCCCAAATTATGGTTACAGGTTTTTCTTTCATTATTCCATTGCTTGTGTCCTGTGTTTCAACCAAAGACTAAACTTGTATTCTTCTAGTATATTATGCATTTTTTCTTCTTTATATATCTGCTTATTGCTGCCCTGCCTGCTACCCTTTCTGTTTGCCTTGAGATAAAAGCCTAGTCAGCTACACGCAGTGGCTCGCACCTGTAATCCCTGCACTTTGGGAGGCTGAGGTGGTGGATCAGGAGGTCAGGAGTTTAAGACCATTCTGGCCAAGATGGTGAAGCCCCATTTCTACTAAAAATAGGAAAAATTAGCCAGGCATAGTGGCATGCACCTGTAATCCCGGCTACTTGGGAGGCCGAGGCAGGAGAATCACTTGAACCTGGGGAGTAGAGGTTGTAGTGAGCTGAGATCATACCATTGCACTGCAGCCTAAGTGACAAAACAAGACTCTGTCTGAAAAAAAAAAAAAAAAAAAAAAAAAAGCCTGGTCAGCATCGGTACTATTTTCTTTAGGAAGTTTTCTGCTAGGTTGGAGAGAGGTCTAGTGGCCTATTCCTATTAAGCACTATTAAATTGCTGATAAATGTAGGGTTTGCTGATAAGTTAATAAGTTAAGGCCTTTACAGAAGAATGCATTTTAATGAGAGACTCCTAAAGACAGAAGATTTACTACTCGTAGAAATGCAGCAGCAGGGTTGCTGTTTTGCCTCAGAGGACATAGGCCAATTTTTCTAAATCCTACTCTGCCTATTCTGCCTACTCACACTGTTAGATAACACTGGAGGAGGGCCTTGAGAATCCCTATCTGACACTGTGGGAGTTTGAGTCAGGAAATGACACAATGTAAACATACTGTGGTATACGATGTTACCTGTATGTGTTTTCTTTCTAAGTACCTGTATAGTGGGGACTTTCTCATGTTTCCCTATGTTCCCCACATACTTGTTAAAGGCATGTTAAATGAATGGTGGGCTTCCTAAATTATGTTTTTGTGGATTTTATTCAGGTGAGGAATACTGTACCTATCATTCAACAAGTTTCAGCTTTCTGGCTAAATGACTTTTGTGCCAGTGATACCAGAGTCCTACAGCCATGTTCTCGCAGAGTTTGAGTCTCTGGATCCGTTACTCTCAGCCCTGCGGCTGGACTCCAGTCGTCTAAAGGTGAATTTCTTGATCCTTGTATCAGTTTCATTTTCATGTGCTCTCTGTTACATGTGCCCCTACCCTCTAGCTCCTTACGTTTTGTGGAATATTGGGTGTTCTTACCTGTCCTAGTCATACTTTTGTGGGGGGAAAAAGAAGAAAATAAACTTCTTATCTGAGGAATGTGAGCCCCTATAAATCATCAGGCCCAGGATGGGCGTGGGTTCATGCCTGTAATCCCAACACTTTGGGAGGCCAAGGTGGGCAGACCATTTGAGGCCAGTAGTTTGAGACCAGCCTGGCCCACATGCAGAACTCCGTCTCTGTTACAAATACAAAACTTAGCCAGGCAAGGTGGCACATGCCTGTATTCCCAGCTACTTGGGAGGCTGAGGCACAAGAATCACTTGAACCCAGGAGGTAGAGGTTGCGTGATTTGAGGTCATGCCACTGCACTTTATCCTGGGCAAGAGTGAGACTCTGTTTCAAAAAAGAAAGCAAAAATTATCAGGCCCAGAGAAGCATTGGAGTGAAGCAGCAGTCTCATTTTACTCTTGCTTGAATGAAATAATTACCTCTTGAAGCTACTTGCTATTATGTGATCACTAGGCTAACTGATGCCAAGTAGTGATAAAATGCAGTATACCTTATAGCTCAAGAGTGTATAGCCAATTACTAATCAGTATTATTTCTGTAAACCAATGAGAATTCCTGACGAACAACCTCTTTTGAAAACTCGAGTTTCTTGTTTTCCAGAGTATTCCCCAAGGCAACTTTGAAGTGTGTCCTAGGCTGCAGTCCTCAATCTTGGCCCAAATAAACTTGTTGTTAATTTGGCCTCGACCATCTTCCTTTTAGCTTGATACTTTAGATAGAAGTAACATTTTCGTAGCTCTTTTTTGATTTATTTTTGAGCTATCTTTTGAATTCTAATTTACCTTCCCAGAAACTGTGATGCTGACTTGCTTCATTTTTCCCCGTAAGTGTTTTGCTGTCTTCTCTCAGAAAGTAATGTATTTGATTGAGAATAAAATGGTAGGCTGGGCGTGGTGGCTCACGCCTGTAATCCCAGCACTTTGGGAAGCCGGGCGGATCATGAAGTCAAGAGATTGAGACCATCCAGGCCAACATGGTGAAACCCTGTCTCTACTAAAAAAATACAAAAAAATTAGCTGGGCGTGGTGGCGCGCACCTGTGGTTCCAGCTACTCGGGAGGCTGAGGCAGGAGAATTGCTTGAACCCAGGAGGCAGAGGTTGCAGTGAGCCGAGATTGTGCCACTGCACTGCAGCCTGGTGCCTGGTGACAGAGTGAGACTGTCTCAAAAAAGAAGAAAAGAAAATGGTATAAATGAGTATATCTCACAAAGACCAAGAGAAAACTGTCTCTTCAGCCTGTGAAGGTTTGCTGAAAATCAGCTAATGAAAGTTAGATTTAATAGGAAAAAAAGGCATGTAAAACTTCTTTTCTTTCTTTTTGTTTTCTTTTGAAACAGGTTCTTTCTATTGCCCAGGCCTGAGTGCAGTGGGAAGATCATAGCTCACTGTAACCTCAAACTCCTGGGTTCAAGCAATCCTCCTGCGTCATTCTCTTGAGTAGCTGTGACTAAACACAACTGATACCATGCCAGGCTAATTTAAAAAAAGTTTTTGTAGCGATGGGGTCTTCCTATGTTGCCCAGGCTAGAGTACAATGGTGAGACCATAGCTCATGGTAACATCGAACTCCTGGCCTCAAGCAATCCTGTGCCTTGGTCTTCCCCAAACACTGGGATGACAGGAGTAAGCCACCATGCCCAGGCCTATGTACCTTTTTTCATAGAGAAGTGGGGATATGGAGAATATAAATGATTGTTTTGAGTGGCAATAAATCATTAGGGAAATGAATAGATGTAGCAAGGGGGAGGCAGACATGGGAAAATTAGGGGTGGAGTTGCACAGGAACAATCTGACTTATGCAGGTAAAATCCCCCAGATAATCTTTTGGAGCTGCCCTCAGGAATATAAATGAAAAGTCTATCTGAGCATGATGAAGACTCCCAGTCTTCATCTAGGGGTTGATCTTTCCTGGTTATTTGATGAGATCCCTAGGGAAAGGGTTTTGGACAATTGCGTTTCTTTTGGAAAGAAGCTTTCTTTCTCTTTTCTTCTTTCTTTTCCCTTCTTTTTCTTTTCTTTTTTTTGAAACAGAGTCCATTGCCCAGGCTAGAGTGCAGTGGCACGATCTTGGCTCACTGCAGCCTCCACTTCCTGGGTTCAAGTGAGTCTGTGCCTAAGGCTTCCAAGTAGCTGGGATTACAGGCACCTGATGCCGTGCCCCGCTAATTTTTGTATTTTTAGTAGAGACGAGTTTAGCCATGATTTGGCCAGGCTCATCTCAAACACTTGGCCTCAAACAATCCTCCTGCTTCCTCCCAAACTACTAGAATTGCAAGCGTGAGCCACTGAGCCTGGCCCCTTTTGGAAGGAAGCTTTCTTGGTCAGATAAGGAAATTCCTCTGGAGAGAGTCCCTTTCTGTGCTTGGTGGAGGGGTGATAACAAGACAGGGTTAAAGGGACTTTGATTTTGAGGCAGCTTCTAAGGACTGTCAGCATGTCAAAACTCCCTATTTTGGGGTATTGGTTGCTGAGCCCCAACAACCCCATTACATTTTGAATAACATGAACCATTGCAGTTATACTAAGGTCATTCCAAAACAGGGAATCTGGTATAACTCTCGTTTTAGGGAGCAAAGCCAAAGTTAGTGGGCAGAACGTCGACCTAAAAGGAAGAAGCTGAGGCAAGTGCCCTGGCTTGGTGGCTCAAGCCTGTAATCCCAGCAAATTAGGAGTGGAAGTGGGAGGATTGCTTGAGCTCAGGAGTTTCAAATCAGCTTGGGCAACATGGCAAAACCCCATCTTTACAAAAAATACAAAAATTAGGCCAAGATGGGTGGATCACGAGGTCAAGAGATGGAAACCATCCTGGCCAACATTGTGAAGTCTCATCTCCACTAAAAATGAAATATTAGCTGGGTGTGGTGGTGCATGCCTATAGTCCCAGCTTCTTGGAGGCTGAGGCAGGAGAATCGCTTGAACCCAGGAGGTGGAGGTTGCAGTGAGCCAGGTCGCACCACTGCACTCCAGCCTGGCAACAGAGCGAAACTCCATCTCAAAAAACAAAAAACAAAAAACCAAACAAAAAAATTATCTGGATGTGGTGATGGGCACCTGTGGTCCCAGCTACTCAGAAGGTGAATTGGAAGGATTGCTTGGGCCAGGGAGGTTGAGGCTGCATTGAGCTGTGATCGCTCCACGCATTCCAGCCTGGGTGACAGTGAGACCCAATCTCAAAAGGAATAAAAAAGACTGAAAAGCAAAACTGAGGCAAAGGCAAAAATAATATGAATAATTTATTAGGGCCAAGCTTGAGGATTACAACCTGGCAACATAGATACAAGTTGGTATTAATAATACACTTTGATTAACACCAAAAGGATTTTTTTCTTTTTTGAGATGAGTCTTGCTCTGTTGCCCAGCGTGGAGTTCAGTGACACCATCTCAGCTCTCTGCAAACTCCGCCTCCCAGGTTCAAGCGATTCTTGTGCCTCAGTCACTGAAGAGGCTGGGATTACAGCCTCTTCATTACCACCATGCCTGGCCAATTTTTGCATTTTAGTAGAGATGGGGTTTTGCCATGTTGGCCAAGGTGGTCTCAAATACCTGGCCTTGAGTAATCCACCTGTCTTGACCTCCCGAGGTGCTGGGTGGATTATTTTTTGGGATGGGGGAGTGGGAGGGTCTTACTGTGTTGCTCAAGCTGGAGTGCAGTGGCTGGCTGTTCACAGGTTTCATAGCTGAGTCATAGCACACTGCAGTGCACTGCAGCTTTGAACTGGCATCAGGCAGTCTTCCTGCCTTAGCCTCTCAAGTAGCTGGGACTACAGGCGTGTACCACACTAGATGGCCCAGCTAATTTTTGTATTTTTTTTTTTTTTTTTTTTGGGTAGAGATAGGGTTTCACTGTGTTGCTCTGGCTGGTCGCAAACTTCTAGGCTTGAGTGGTCCTTCCACCTTGGCCTCCCAAAGTGCTGGGATTATAGGCGTGAGCCACTGTGCCTGGTTGGATTTGTTAAAAATAAAATTTTTTAAATTAGGGATGGGATCTTACTCTGTTTGCCCAGGCTGTCTCGAATCCTGGCCTCCCAAAGTGTTGGGATTATAGGTGTGAGCCACCTTGTCCAGCCCAAATGGATTTTTAAAGGAAAAGAAGAGGCAGATTCTGAGTTGTTTACCAAAAACTTATATCAAAATAACAAAAACTATTGATTGGCTATACATCATTCTTTGTGTCACAGATTTCAGTGACATGAAGATAACAGGTGAGGCAGCTAGTGAGGGACAAAACTTTAAACAGTTGCTGCCAGGCCTGGGTGCAGAGTAGGGTCATGACTGACAGCTCATATTCATTTCTCTCTGGGCCTGCATACTTCACATAGCTCAGACTGCCCTCAGCTATTTTTCTTTTCTCAGTAACTACGTGTTTTGATTGTCCTTGGAATTCAAAGAACTATGTGCTTCCTTCAAACTCTTGAGTTATTTTGATTAAACTCAGGAATGACATGGTAAGAACCAAAGTTTTGTAACTAGTACCAAAATAATTTCATTTTTATACTTTTGCTACTGTCCTAAAGTACTAGCATGTGAGGAAAGGGGAAATAGGAAGTGATAGGCAAAGTAATGTGAGTAGCAATTTTGAGGCTTGATATCAGCTAGACATTTTTTCAGCTGCAAGTTACAGTATGATACAACATACTAGTAGGAGCTTAAGTGGTAAAGATATTTATAATCTCATAGGAGGTTAGTGTTCTGGGTTTAGTGTAGTGGCCCAATGATATAAGTGGCTCCCATTTTTCCTGTTCTACCATATGTATATATGTTAACTTTTAGTTGCATTTGTAATATGTGTCTCCTCTCCAGTCTTACTGTTCTCATTAACATGTCAAGAAAGGGGGGTCAAAGGGCAAAGGCTTTCCATAGGCTCTGCCTTTTATCTGGGAAGGTAAAGCTTCCCTTCCTAAGAAGCTCTCAGCAGCCTTGGTCTTACTAGCTAGAATTGAGTTACATGACAACCCTTGGCAACAAGGGAACTGGGAACGTGAATATTTAGGTTTTCCAACTTCTGTAGTAAAAAGCAACAAAATTGAAGAGAATTGGGAATGTCTCTTAGCTGACTAAAAGCTTCTGCCACAGGGTATTGGGTGCAGCATGGCCACTACTTTCTCTGATAGTCTCACCTACCTTAAGACTTGAGAATGTTTTGTGGTGTTTGTGCAGACTGGAAGTGATTTAAACGGATGATTGATTTATGTGGTTGCTTTATCTTCTGGTAACTTCCTTGGTCTTCCATTGTTGTAGTCATCATTGGAATAACCTAGCCAAATTACACAAAATATGGACAGTGTAACAGCCAGCTTTTGCCAAGGGAAAATTACTCATACAATGGAGCCTATTCAGCCTTTTGAGATTCATTTAGAAGTTTAAAAACAAAATGTTCTTTCATCAGTATTTTTTACTATTCTAGAATTAGAGAATAAGTGTCATGTTGTATCCATTTGGGCAGACGGTACAGTGAGGGAAGGAGCCTGATGCATAAATCCTCAGTGTTTATTTCCAGTGGATAGTCTATTTGGTTAAGTAGCTGTGCTTATCTCACACTTCTCTTCACACGTTTTTAGTGCACGAGCATAGCCGTGTCACGGAAATGGTTGGCTTTGGGCAGTTCCGGAGGAGGACTCCATCTCGTTCAGAAAGAAGGCTGGAAGCATAGGCTTTTTCTTTCACACAGGGTAAGATGAAGGGCAGCTCTGTCATATACCATTTGGAGTCTCTCATATATGCAAATTTCTCCAATATAAATAATCATTTGGAATAAAAGAATGTAAAACTTGGCTGGGCAGGGTGGCTAACGCCTATAATCCCAGCACTTTAGGAGGCCAAGGTGGGTGAATTACCTGAGGTCTGAAGTTCAAGACCAGCCTGGCCAACATGGTGAAACCCCATCTTTATTAAAAATACAAAATTTAGCTGGGCTTGGTGATGGGCACGTGCAATCCCAGCTACTTGGAAGGCTGAGGCAGGAGAATCGCTTGAATCCAGGAAGTGGAGGTTGCAGTGAGCTGAGATTGCACCACTGTATCCCAGCCTAAGTGATAGAATGAGACAAGGTCTAAGTAAAACTTGAGATTTAAAAAATGTGTTTTCTTTTGTGCCCTAGGAAGGTGCAATTTCTCAAATTGCCTGTTGTTTACATGATGATGATTATGTTGCTGTAGCTACCAGGTAAGAATCTGTTTTAAAAATGATCTGTCCTTTTTCAAATGCATTTTAAATTGACATATGTGTTTGTTAGGGTGACAAACCATCTTGGTTTGCCTAGGATTGTCCCAGTTTTAACACTGAAACTCCTGTGTCTTAGGAAACCTTTCAGTACCTTGCAAATCAGAATGAATAGTTGGTCATCCTAGTGTTTGTAGAAAATGCTAATTTGAGGTTACAACATTTCAAAGGCCTTAAAAGAGAATGGGAACAGAGATAATTTAGATAATTTAACTTCTCCTATTAAACTGGTTTGGTGACTAAAGCAGGGAAATTAGTACCTTGACTTCTTATAATACTTCCTGTTTTCTGAAGAACAAGAGTTGCGTATGTATTTAATATAGTTGATACTGTGATGCAATTAAATTGTCCCTTTTTCACCATTGCCAACAATTTGCCTCTGTGACTCAATTCTTGCAGTCAAGGTCTTGTAGTTGTTTGGGAATTAAATCAAGAGCGTCGTGGGAAACCAGAACAAATTTATGTGTCTTCAGAACACAAAGGCCGAAAAGTCACAGCGCTCTGTTGGGATACAGCTATTCTTAGAGTTTTTGTAGGTGATCATGCTGGGAAGGTTTCTGCCATCAAACTCAATACTTCTAAACAAGGAAAGGTGAGAAGCAGTCCTGTTCTTTGTGTATGTAGTGAGATACAAGGTGTTATCTTATAAAACTTCCAATTAAAGAATGTGCTTTTATCTACTGTATTTCTTGGGAGACTAATCCAGAGTTCAGAGTTGGAGATTTTTAAAGAGACCTGCTTGTATATAGTACATATGGTGGCCTGTTTTAGCTCAATACTGTTGCAGAATGGCTTTTGTGAGCTAACTTCAGTACTTTGCATATTATCTATTGTAGTTCTTCCTGATTCACTTGCATGTCTTATTTCAACAAAGCATTCTTTAGTATAAGACTATTAAAAAAGAAAAGATACCTATTTGTTATTGGTGTGAATAAAACGGCAAGCATAGAAATGACACCAATTGCCCAGGCTCCTGGTCTTCTCTGCTTCTTATGTAGAAGAAACTCATAGGTCTAGGAATTTTTTTTTATCAGGATGGCTATAACTTATTTTGAATGGAATCTTAAAGGCACCTTCTGACTTTGCTCTGCTCTGCAGGTCCTCAGGCTTCCTGTTGCAGTTATTGCTGAGTAGAAGGGTTGAGACTCAGGTTACCCTCACAGAGTGCTCCAGTCTGTTATTAAGACAGAGCAGACCAGCTTCTCATTGTCCCATTCCTCCAAGGCCATTACATCACAAGTAGAGGGATTTTTGTCTGTCATTGGCTTATTTGTGTTTAGGATCCTGGCAGAAAAGAAGGGATCTAACTACTATTGGCTAAATTACTTTTATTTTATATTTTATTTATTTTGAGACAGGGTCTTGCTTTGTCACTCAGGCTGAAGTACAGTGGTGAGATCATGGCTCACTGCAGCCTTGATCGCCCAGGCTCAAATCCTCCCCCCTCAAAACTGAGTAGCTGGGACCACTGGAATACACCACCATGCCTGGCTAATTTGTAAAAATTTTTTGTAGACAGGGTTTTGCCGTGTTTCCCAGAGTGGTCTGGAACTCCTGGGCTCAAGCAGTCTACTCACTTTGCCCTCCCAAAGTGCTAGGATTACAGGCATGAGCCACTGCACCTGGCTATTGGCTAAATTATTTTAATGAACATATCAAAATATTTTTCTGATATTGCCATCGTGACCTATCAAAGTTAGCAATTGATTCTTAATATCTTTTAGATCTAAAATATAATTGAAACCCTATAGGTAGTAGACTTATTTTATCTTTTTCTCAAAGGGAGCAGTACTATCTACAGGTGAAAAATTCCCTCACATACTCCAAAACTTTACTTATTTAGAGACGGGTTTTTCCTCTGTTGCCCAGGCTGAAGTGTAGTAGCGCAATCTTAGCTCACTGCAGCCTTCAGCTCCTAAGCTCAAGCAATCCTTCTGCCTCAGCCTCCCAAGTAGTTGGGATTATAGGTATGTGCTACCATGCCTGACTAACATGTTCTAAAGCTTGCTTCATCTTTTTCATTCTCACCTCAAAAATTGGATAATCACAAACAGAGCCTTCAGAATTTTCTTCTGCAGTTAGGTACCAAATTAAGTGAGTGAAACTTCGATATTCTTACAAGCAAATTAAATTTTAGCTTATTTGAAAATTTTATTTTGTTATTCAAGTTATTTTCATTTATAAGGTAAAGAGGAAGAGATGACATGTGTATGTTATGATTAAATAAACTTTACTTTGTTTCTCACATTGCTTTTAGGCAGCTGCTGCTTTTGTGATGTTTCCTGTTCAGACAATAACAACAGTTGACTCCTGTGTTGTACAGTTAGATTATTTGGATGGAAGGCTACTTATATCTTCACTTACTCGATCCTTCTTGTGTGACACCGAAAGGTATATTGACCAACCATTAGTTATCAGAAATGCAGAATTTTAGAACCGGAAGGAACTTAGAAGTTGTCTACCCCAAGCCCCATCAATCAGTTAAACAGATTTTTTTCCTTTTTTTTTTTTTTGAGATGGTCTCACTCTGTCACCCAGGCTGGAGTGTAGTGGTGTGATCATGGCTCACTGCAGCCTCGACCTCCCCAGCTCAAGTGATCCTCCTACCTCAGCTTCCCAAGTAGCTGTGTCTACAGGCACATGCCACCATGCTCTGCTCATTTTTTATATTTTATTTAGAGACTGGGTTTTGTCATGTTACCCAGGCTGGTCTTGAACTCCTGGGCCCAAGCGATCTTCCTGCCTCAGCCTCCCAAAGTGCTGGGATTACAGGAATGAACCGCTGCCCTTGGCTACACAGATGTTAAGGAACCAGTTGTATGCAAGCTGATGTTAGAGAGCAGAGAGGAGGCAGAGGAGTCTAAGACAGTCCAGTGTGTGACTAATAAAAGTATTCCTTGAGCCTGCTGCTGTGAGGCATATTCTAAGCACCACGAGAAAAGGCCAAAGGCCTGTTTTTATAGGGGGAAGCAGGAAGGCTTCTTTGAGTTTTGTGGTTTTAAAAATTTGTTGTTTTTTTTTTGTTTTTTTTTTGGGGGGGAGGAAGGCAGGAAGGGAGGGAAGAAGGATGGTAGGGAGGAAGGAAGGGATGAAGGAAGGAAAGAAGGGAGGAAGCGGGGAGGGAGGGAGGGAAGGGAAGGAAGGAAATCAAGCAATGAGAGAGATATTGCCGACCTGGATCTAGAAGTTTACAAGTTGATTTCTTTTTTTTTTGAGAGAAGGAAAAAAAAAAAAATAAGTAAAGGAGAGGAAGAAAGAGGAAGAGAAAGAGGGAGAGTACATGGAAATATTGCTTTATTTTGAAAAAAATTGGGTATTATTAATTACCAATCAATGTTTCATTTAAACTTATGGGTAGATGTGATGTGATATTGACAAGAATGTATATTTTGTGTATTTGAAGTGGAGAGCTCTATAAATATTTATTAAGTTTACTTGTTCTGGATCTGAGTTCGAGTCCTTGATATCCTTATTAATTTTCTGTCTCATTGAGTCTAAGTCTCTATGTATCTGGGTGTTAGGATCGTTAGCTCTTGTTGTTGCATAGATCCTTTTACCACTATATCTTTGTTGCTTTAAAATCTATTTTATCTGCTACGAGATTTGCAACTCCTGCTTTTTATTTATTTATTATTTATTTTTGCTCTCTATTTGGTTGGTAAATCTTTCTCCATCCCTTTGTTTTGAGTCTTTGTGTATCCTTGCATGTGAAACAGGTCTGGATGTAACATGCCATTGGGTTTTGGCTGTGTCTTTTGATTGGGGGATTTAGTCAATTTAAATTTAGGGTTACTGCCATTTGATGTTGACTGGCTATTTTATCCATTCGTTGGTGTAAATTCTTCTTTATGTTGGTGCTCTTTACTTTTTGGTGTATTTTTAGAAAGGCTAATACTGGTTGTTTCTTTCTGTGTGTAATGCTTCTTTCAGAAGCTCTTGTAAAGCAGGCCTGGTGGTAATAAAATCTCTGAGTTCTTGCTTGTTCATAAAAGATTTTATTTTTCCTTCAGTTGTGAAGCTTAGTTTGGCTGGATATGAAATTCTGGGCTGAAGGTTCTGTTCTTTGAGGATGTTGAATATTGGCCCCCACTCTCTTCTGGCTTGTAGAGTTTCTGCCGAGAGATCTGCTGTAAGTCTGATAGGCTTGCCTTTGTGGGTAACCTGACCTTTCTCTCTGGCTGCCCTTAGTATTTTCTCCTTCGTTTCAACCCTGGTGAATCTAACGATTATGTGTCTTGGGGTTGCTCTTCTTGAGGAATATCTTTGTGGTGTTCTCTGTATTACCTGGGGTTGAATGTTGACCTGCTTTCCTAGTTTAGGAAAATTTTCCTGAATAATATCCTGAAGGGTATTTTCCAGCTTGGATTCATTCTCTCCATCGCATTCAGGTACAACTATCAAACGTAAATTTGGTCTTTTCACATAGTCCCACATTTCTTGGAGACTTTGCTCATTCCTTTTTATCCTTTTTTCTCTAATCTTTTCTTCACGTTTTATTTCATTAAGTTGGACTTTGACCTCTGATATCCTTTCTTCTGCTTGAACAATTCGAGTGTTTAAACCTGTGCATACTTCTCGGAGTTCCTGTATTGTATTCTTCAGTTCCATTAATTCACTCATACTCCTCTCTAAGTTGTCTATTCTCAATAGGATTTCATCAAACCTTTTTTCAAAGTTCCTAGTTTCTTTACGTTGGGCTACAACGTGTTCTTTTAACTCACCGAAGTTTGTTATTATCCATTCCTTGAAGAGTGATTCTGTCATCAGGAGTCGCTCCTTCTCCATCAAGCCTTGTTCCATTGTTGATGTGGAACTGTGATCATCTTTAGAGGGAGAGGCGTTCTGACTTTGAGTATTCTCGGCTTTTTTACTCTGCTTTCTTCCCGTCATTGTAAAAACTGATGGTGCTTTTCTGCCCAGGATTCTCCTGTCGGGCTTCCTTCTTGTTTCCGTAGTAGGCGACTCTGCCTTCCCCGGGCTCCAAACCTCGGTCAGAAGGGGAACCGGTCCGTTTACTCTGCGCCGAGCGCTGCCGCACCGAGGTGCCGTCACAGCCGCTGCGCCGGGCTCTGGTGTTGTGCTGGGGGCCCTTGTGGGTTCTCCGAACCTGTTTACTCTGCTCCAAGAGCTGCCGCGCCGAGGTGCCCGCGGAACCGCTGCGCCGGCCACGAGAGTCGCGCTGGCCACCCGTGTGTTTCCTCCACTGGGGGATCTTCTGCTCCGTGAACGACCAGAATTTGAAAGTGTGGCGTCCTCTAGTTCTCCGCTCCTTCCCTGAGAGCTGCCAAAATTTGTTTGTTTTAATAGAATTTTACTAAAGGGTAAAATCAGATGAAGAAAAATTAAGAGCTTTATGAAGATAAGTGTTTCATCAATATCTCAAGGGTAGAGCCAGAGATCCAGTGAATGGCAAAGGAGTACATTAGAGGTAGCCGTGAAATACCAGAGCAGAATAGCAAACAACTGAAAGTGAATATTATGCATCACTGTGCCAAAATTCTCAGCCATTCTCACTGCAAGGAAATTTTCACTGGCCGTTTCTTTTTTTCACTGGACCTGGCAGCTGTCATATTTCTCAGGACCATCTCCCCTTAAAATTTTGTTTTGGAGAGATGTGAGCCTACACAAAATAAGATAGAGTTGTATAATCAACCCCCATGTACCTATTTCATAACTGAAGTAAGATGGCAGTATCAGAACCTGCTGTAAAAATAACATGTTTATATGTGCCTACTTTTTATTAGCTAGAATTCAGTTTTTGGGGACATGGGTAGTATAATAAAATATATACTTAGGTTAAAAAATCTTTTTGTTTCAACCTATTTTCCCTCCCAGAAACCAATATATATTTTTTAAAGCCGGGACCCCTAGTGACTAGCCAAAGAGATAGATATGAATTTGCTTCATGTAAATTTAGTGTTAAGGATTAACTAAGATAGCATATGTCAAAGTACTCAACTTTGTGCCTGTGACATATTGTTTATTTGAAAAATAATAGAAAGTAAGATTAATGAGTACACAAATGATAATGAATTGATAGCATTTTTCACTCAACAAACATTTATTATATTCCTCTAGATCCTTAGCACTATATTAGGTACCATAGGGGATATAAAATAAGCGAGAAATATATTTTATTACCCAAATGAGGAATATAAATGATAAAACCAATACTTCTTGTACTGCTCTGTATACATTTCAAAGCACTCTTAACACCTATGTTCTTAAAGCAAATGTTATAGTTTATTCATAAAGCAAATAAGTACAGAAATATTTATTGAATTTTCAGAGATTATCTAGTAAATTCATGCTAGAAAGCATACTAGATCACTCTTCAATAAAAGAGATTGAGTTTATGGAACTCTACAGTGTATTGAGTGCATTTCGTAGGCCGGACACTGTGCTATACACTGGAAATTCAAAGGGGAATAAGAAGTGTCCTTTGTCCTGAAAAGTCATGATCAACTGTTCAGATAGACATAATTGCCATATATCATGTCATAAGTACTATGAAGGCAAAGCATGGGAAGCATGTAATTCCATATATGGGAATCAAAGAACGTTTATGAGGAGGAATAATGGAGCTAAATCATGAAAAGTAAGTAACAGGAGTTTTTAGGAAGAGATATCTCCCTCATCCTTACCACCTTCCATGTTCCCAGGCAGTGTACTAAGCTCTATTATATATCTAACTCATGTAATCCTAAGGGAACAGAATGCTCCACAGTGTAGATTTTCAGAAGGACCTGGGTTTTTGAGGAAAGAGTAAATTCTTGAATTGTAGGATTCAAGAATGTACGAAATTGTTTGGTAGCACTCACCTTTTAGATTTGAAAGGGGCTTTCACATTAATTCTGAGCCTCTTATTCTGTGGGTAATAAACTGAGTACTAATATGAAATGATTTGCTTCCTGTCACAGAAATAGCTCATGGCAAATCAGAACCAGAACTCTATTTTGATCTTTCCTTTCTATAGTTTTTTTCAGTATATTGGTAATATGAATAAAGGAGAAGGCATCGTGAGTTTAGTTATGCCCATGCTGATTTGTAGTGCCATTGTTGTTGACTTTTTTTTTTTGTTAAGTAAATGTGCTTTTCTCTTCCTTTCTGGATATTAGAGAAAAGTTTTGGAAAATCGGAAACAAGGAAAGAGATGGGGAATATGGAGCTTGCTTCTTTCCTGGAAGATGTTCTGGGGGCCAGCAACCTCTCATATATTGTGCTCGCCCAGGATCTAGGATGTGGGAAGTGAACTTTGATGGAGAAGTTTTAAGTACACATCAGTTCAAGAAACTTCTCTCATTGCCGCCTCTCCCTGTGATTACTGTAAGGTAATGATTTGTATTGCTGGTTGACAATGTTTGAAGAGCTTATATGTAGAGGTTGGGTAAAAATCTCTGATATTCTATATGTGTTAAAGATTTTATTACACCTTTTCAGTGTGAAGTTGGTTATTTATTAAAAGATTCAGAAAAACCAAAAAAGTCTTTGATTAATTACCTTTCCTATGAGTAGAGTGAGTTGAATAAGGCAGATACAAGTAGGCTCTTGAATTTGTTTTATAGGCAAAAATTTCCGTATATTGGGAAAAGTATAATTTTATCTTGTGATAAACTCATTAACAAATGTGTTTACTTTCTAGATCAGAACCTCAGTATGATCATACAGTTGGAGCCTCTCAATCTTTGTCTTTCCCTAAACTCTTACATCTTAGGTAAGTTTCTCCTTTCCTTTGATTTAGTGGGGGAGGGGAAGAATACTTAGCTTTTTATCTTTGTTTCTTGTTCAGAGGTAGTTTTTTAAGGTTATTTTTGCGCTAAATTATTTTTAGATAGTTAGGAAATAATTATGTTACATGTATTTAAAAGGAATGGAAAGATCCTAGAAATACACTTCTCTTTCCAAGCCAATTGGAGAGTTTATAATTGCCAGGAAACTTCTAAAAATTAGAGCTAAGATAGCTCTACTAACCTCCTTATAACCTCCTCTATCTGGTGGGTTGCTATAATGAAAGCAAGTCCCAGATCAAAATGTGCCACACAGTTGTATGTTTTTTAGCAAGCAGGCACAAAAATAGTTATAGAACTGGTTCTTGTACACTTGGTGAAATTTCAGCTCTCTATCCTGTAGGTACTCTGAGAAATACTTGCACGAAAGATCTACAGAGGCAGTTTCAGCCATATTCTAACGTCATAGTTCAACTCACCTTCTAGCTGGATTAGGTGCGAAGTCCAGCACAAAGTGCTACCCTGAAATTTGTCAGCTGCTGGGCCCACAATTCTTACACCTTGTTCTTCAACAGGAAGAGTGCCAATGTATGATTTCTACCCAATATATGGGTCTTGAGTTCTATTTATTTCATTAATAAATAATTATTTCTGATATCCTTTAGGCTAGTTAGTAAGATCTCTGATGCAGATTCAGCAGGTGTTGTATGAGGTTGTTATATGGTACACTGGAGTGTAAACACCTGAGTCAGTTCTTTCAGTTATTAAAAATAATTAAAATGTTAACTAATTACCCCTAAGGGCAAGGATAAAAACTAGTTTATGTATTTGTCATACTTCCTACACTAAAGTATTTAAAAGTGAATTATAAGGCCAGGTGTGGTGGCTCATGCCTATATCCCAGTACCTTGGGAGGCTGTGGCGGGCAGATCATCTGAAGTCAGGAGTTCGAGGAGTTCGAGACTAGCCTGTCAACATGGAGAAACCCCATCTCTACTAAAAATATAAAAATTAGTCAGGCAGGGTGGTATGCTTCTGTAATCCCAGCTACTAGGGAGGCTTCGGCAGGAGAATTGCTTGAACCTGGAAGGCAGAGGTTGCAGTAAGCTGAGATTGTACCACTGCACTCCAGCCTGGGACACAGAGCAAGACTCTATTTAATAAAAAAAAAAAAGTGAAGTATAGACATTATAACACTTTAGTAACTCCGTAATTTCATCATGAAAATTACTAGAGAAAGACACTTATTTTCCTGTAATTAGATAAAGCATATTAAAAACTCCTCCTCCTTTAACATTCTTCCTTTATGGGACTTGTCACAGTTTATAATTACATATTAATATACATGTCTTATTCTAAACAGTAAGCTCTATGAGGGCTTTATTTCTGTTTTGCTCACCATTGTTTTCTCCGTGTTTGGCCCAATGCCTGGCACATGATAGATGCTTAATAAATATTTGTTGACTATGATGTGATGTGCGGGGTGTGGGGAAGTCCCTTACCCAAGAGTATTATTATTTTTTTTTAAGAGATGGAGTCTCACTCTGTTGCCCAGGCTGGAGTACAGTGGTATGACAATACTCAAAACAACCTCCACCTCCCGGGTTCTAGCAATTCTCCTGCCTCAGCCTCCTGAGTAGGTGGTACTACAGGTGCATGCCGCCACACCTGGCTAATTTTTTGCATTTTAGTAGAGATGGGGTTTCACTGTGCTGCCCAGGCTATTCTTGAATTCCTGAGCTCAGGCAATCCACTCGCCTTGGCCTCCCAAAGTACCCGAGTATGTTTTCTAGTAATTGGGCCACAATACACTTAGCTCTCCAGATAGAGTTATTTTTTTGACTGTAGCTATTTAAAGCTCCTGTTACAGTCCCTACCATTGTAGACAAAGCCTTTGATGATCTGGCTCTGCCTATGTCTCAGCTTAAGCAACAATTAATGCCACTTTGAAACCTCTGCTGATTTCTCCAAGAGGCTTACATTAGACACCTGTTCCTGTGCATGTACTATTGTCAAACCATATTCATTCCTTTATCATTGCCACTCTCTTGTTGTATTATGAATATACATCCCAGCATCAGATTGTTAACCCTTTTCTATGGGCAGTGCTAGACACATAGAAGGCTCTCAAATGATAGTGAATTCAACAAACAGTTTCTTTGAAAAACAAGAAGAGGAGGGCTTCTTTTTGTTCCTGTTTTTTATTTTAATTTTTTCATTTGTACACTGTGGCCTATGAGACTTTTACTGTTGCAAACCATTAATCCCATTCTTATGTACTTTGTTTCCTTCTTTCGGGTACATTGGTATCACTTTCCTTTCTCAGACTTCTAAAACAATGCTGTTATGCTTGTGTCTCCATTTATTATCAGTGAAGGGATAAGGGGATGAAACACGTATAAATTACAAGTATCAGATTTTCTCTAAGTTCCAGTTCTCAATCCCCCATCTAATCTAGGTTGCTATTCCTAAGGAATTTTCCAAGCTGAATGTCGAGTTCAGTATCAAAATTATGATCCTGTATCTCTTTACTCAGGGATCCTGTGGCTCCTTTTTTTTTTCCCCTCTCCTCTGACTCTTGATGTCAGCCTTCTCAGTTTTACTTTGGATTAAGATTCTGACCATTTCTTCCATTTTATGACAAAGATTACTTTCCTGTAGGAGTAGTGTCTGGTATTTCTTATTGACAAAATGTTTAACACTTAAATGGAGACCCAGCTCCTGTTAAAAATCAGTTAGTTTCATAGCCACGTGGAACCATTTTTAGTACTCCTGGAAACAAAAAGGGGAAAAAATAGGGTCCCTGTGCTTAAGATTATAATTTATCGGAGAGATGTGATTTACTTCTCCAAAAAGTTTAACAACAATAAGAAGTAAGAGTTGTGACAGTATAGTATATGATTAAGTGCCATATGAGCAGAGTGTAAGAAATAGGTTGGGCTGGACGTGATGGCTCACACCTGTAATCCCAGCACTTTGGGAGGCTGAGGCGGGTGGAACACGAGGTCCAGAGGTCGAGACCATCCTGTTCAACAAGGTGAAACCCCGTCTCTACTGAAAATACAAAAAGTAGCTGGGCATGGTGGTGTGCGCCTGTAGTCCCAGCTACTCGGGAGGCTGAGGCAGGAGAATTGCTTGAACCCAGGAGGCGGAGGTTGCGGTGAGTGGAGATCGTGCCATTGCACTCCAGCCTGGGTAACGAGCGAAACTCTGTCTCAAAAAAAAAAAAAAAGAAATAGGTTGAATACAAGAAATACGGTGAGTGCTGTGGGCTGTAAGAGAGGATTTCAGAGGGAAGTAGAATTTCTGATTCTTGAAAGGTGGCTAGATTAAGAAAACTGTAAGTTGGAGAATGTACTGACCAGCATTAAGAAGTGGAGATTACCAGTGGTATATAAAACACAGTAGCAGCCTTGAGAGAGTAAATGAAGTATATGAGATATATTTATATGATAAGCGAGTATAGAAAAAGATAAGTAGAGAGAGTACCAGAGGACCGGAGAGAACGAGAACCAACAAAATGCAGTGTCCAAGAGTCCCAGGAGGTGAGGTTCAAAAAGAAGAGAACAGTTAGCAGGGTTGGCTTCTGCTTGGGGTTAAGAAAATGGGAAGTGGTGAAGGGTTATTGGGTTTGGCAGTTTGGGAATCTGTGACTTTTTGAGAATCTAGTTAAGTGGAATAGTTAGGATTCCAGATAATAGTGGGTAGGTTAGTGAAGATACGTAGGGGAGGAAATAGATTCTGTGTTATATAGGAAAAAAGTCCAGGTTTTGGTTCTAGACTATCCTTGGTATAAATTTTGACTCTTCTACATTTCATGCTCAGTGGTTTTTGAAGTATTTTTTTCTCTCTGAGCCTTTTTAATCTTTTTAATTTTTAGTTTTTTATCTTTTTAATAAAATAAGAATAGTATATTTACCTCAGTTGGCTTCTACAAAGTTAGGTAATATAGACAGAGCCTTTAATAAAGCTCCTGGCACATTGTTGACCAGAAGTTCTCAGCCTTTTGTTGCCCACACAAAAGTAATGACATCAAAATATGTTCCTAAAAGTGGCTCACTGGAGTAATGATTGGCGGTAAGATGTTAGTCTTTGTTTTAAATGTGCCCCTATCATGTCAAGTATGGAAAGTTCAGCTGCTTTAACAAACATTCGGTAAAGGTCCCTAAGCTCTTCTTTTTCTGGATACCAGCCTTTTTTTCTTATTTTTTGAGACAGAGTCTCACTCTTGTTGCCCAGGCTGGAGTGTAGTGGCACAATATTGGCTCACTGCAGCCGCCTCTGCCTCCCGGTTTGAAGTGATTCTCCTGCCTCAGCCTCCTGAGTAGCTGGGATTACAGGTGTGCACCACCCTGCCTGCTAATTTTTTGTATATTTAGTAGAGACAGGGTTTCACCATGTTGGCCAGGCCAGTCCTGAACTCCTGACCTCAAGTGATCCACCCACCTCAGCCTTTTTAAGTATTGGGACTACAGGCATGAGACACCATGCCCGGCTGAGCCTTTTCTTTTTCTGGAAAATATCTAGTATATGTGTCTGAATTTTTCCAGTTTGGCATCATAGTGCACTATTTGTTAGTGGGCTGTTGTTACAAACAGAAAGGAGTTGTTAGGACTTGACTAGCTGGATCACTCTCGTGTTTTCTTTGTACAGTCTGATTTTACTCTAATGGCTAATATGAGGATCTGAATTCAGGGAATTATAAACTTTTATATCCTAGCCCACTCAAATTCTCTTGACTTTTTCTCATGCAGTGAGCATTGTGTGCTGACTTGGACAGTAAGAGGAATTTATATTTTCATTCCTCAGAATGTTCAAGTACTTCTTTGGAGTGAAGTCAAAGGTAATTATATTTTTCTTTATGTAATTTTTAATCTCATGCTTATGAAAATTTGATTATTGTAGAAGGATTCTCTTGTAATTTAATAAGTTGAAAAATAGGATGGGGTAACTTTTTCTTTTTGAGACAGGGTCTTGCTCTTTTACCGAGGCTGGCTGGAGTACACTGGTGCGATCTTGGCTCACGGTAACCTCCGCCTCCCGAGTTTAAGTGATTCTCCTGCCTCAGCCTTCTGAGTAGCTGGGATTATAGACGTGCACCACTATGCCTGGTTAATTTTTGTTATTTTTAGTAGAGATGGAGTTTCTCTAGGTTAGGCAGGCTGCTCTCAAACTCCTGACCTCAGGTGATCGGCCCGCCTCGACCTCCCAAAGTTCTGGGATTATTGGCGTGCGCCACCGTGCCTGGCCACATTTCTTTTAAAGGTTGATCATAGATGTTTCCCACTGTAAGGTACTTTCCAAACATGCATTTGTGAATTTGTATTCAGCTATTTTTTCATGAGTAATTTTATTTATTTTTTAATTAACACGTAGTAATTTTACATATTTATAGGGTACATAGTGATGTTTTGATACATACAGTGGATAGGGTACCCTGATCAGATCAGGGTAGCATATCTATCATCTTAAACATTTATTAGCTCTTTGTATTGGGAACGTTCATTATCCTTCTAGCTCTTTGAAAATATGCATTATTATGAACTATAGTCATCCTACAATACTATGGAACAGTAGAAATTATTCCTCCTATCTAGCTATAATTTTGTATCCTTTAACAAGTCTTTCCCTGTCTCCCCCTTCCTCTTCACCTTCCCAGAATCTGGTCACCTCTGTTCTACTTTTTTACTTCTGTGAAATCACATTTTTCTAGCTTCTGCATGTGAGTGAGAACATGTAGTCTTTAACTTTTTTTCCTGGCTTATTTCACTTAACATAATGTCCTCCAGTTTTCATGAGTAATTTTAAATGCAATTTTCATTATTAACTGCTGCAAAGGAACAAACAGCTTAATTTTTTTCCCTCTATTGCCCTGTGTCTTTATCCCTGCCAGAAGTCTTGCTTTGACTCCCATTTTGTATCTTTATAGTTTGGGGTTCAACATTTTCTTGTGGGAACAACAGCCATCATATGTGACTGAGACAGAAAATCAATCTCTTTATTCTTTGGGTTAAAACCAGAAATGGGGGAAATCTAGCATTTTTACCATTGCTGTTCAGTAGAGAGTGTATGCTGACTTTTTGGTTCTTTTTCTACTTTTGTAAAAACCAAAAAAGGAGAGAGAGGAAGAAATCATTACTTTGGTCTCATCAACAGTGATTTTTTTTGTGGCATAAATTTCTTATGTATGTCTCTTGACAACTAGTCTTTTAAGTTCTTTCAAGATACTCTGCCAAGACAGATAATTTCTTGAAGGCAGATATTTTCTCATGAACTGTATATTTATTTACATACCATGTTAAAATCCATTCATTGAGGACCAGGTTGTAACTCTCAGGAGCCTTATAGTCTGGCCTCTAATGTAGATTATCATCTCTTTTTCTGTGAAAAGGAATTTCCCAATTTCTTTTCACAGAAAACAGCATTTTTAAACATAAGACGTTAAGTCAGAGGGATATAGTTCTTTCTTTACATCTTTTATTCTTGATCTTTTTAGAATAGTGTCTAAAATGATTTCTTCATTAAACTGCAAATACAAAAATAGAGATGAAATTCAGTCAAGCCAAACCCTACATAAGAAATGAATTTATTAGAATAATTTCAGCCCTTTTAAAATTGTAAGGGGTATTTGGTTAACATTTTATATGTTCACACCTATGGTTTTTGTAGATATTCAGGATGTGGCTGTCTGCAAGAATGAATTGTTCTGTTTGCACCTAAATGGGAAAGTCTCACATCTCTCCCTGATATCTGTGGAGCGCTGTGTGGAACGCCTGCTAAGAAGAGGCCTATGGAACCTGGCTGCTTGCACATGCTGTCTTTTCCAAAATTCTGTCATTGCCAGCAGAGTGAGTCACAGCTTACCTAGACATCTTTACCATGGATTGGTAAAACTATCCTAGCTTGCAAGATTGTGTTATAGAGTTGCTTGATTTTATTAGCCCAGTCTATATGACCTACAGATACAGCAATACATGCCCATAGAAAGCATGATACATCTAGGGGTGGATAGAGGGTAAGAGAGAGGGTACAATTTCTATTTAAAATAAATTTACACACAAATTTATTTGTTTCAGAACTTGTTTTTAAGGGGGATAATTGTGTATACTATAAATCTTAATTAAATTCTTTTTTTTTTCTTTGAGACAGAGTCTCACTTTGTCACCCAGGCTGGAGTGCTGTGGCCTGACCTTGGCTCACTGCAACCTTCACCTCCTGGGTTCAAGTGATTCTTGATTCTTGTGCCTTGGCCTCCCAAGTAGCTGGGACTATAGGCGCTTACCACCACACCCAGCTGATTTTTTATTGGTATTTTTAGCAGAGACAGAGTTTTGCCATGTTGGCCAAACTGGTCTTGAACTGCTGACCTCAAGTGATCCACCCACCTTGGCCTTTCAAAGTGCTGGGATTACAGGCATAAGCCACCATGCCCAACCTTAAATTCTTAATTCCTAAGAAAATTCTCATTAAATCTTTCACTAGCTTGCTAAGCCTTTTTAAAGCACCATTAAAGTTTTATGTTCTATATAAGACCCCTTTCAATATATTAGCCATTTGAATATAGATTTACTTACAAATAGTAAGCTATTCCGTTGCAATATCCTTTTATTAGGCAAGAAAAACTTTGACTGTAGATAAATTGGAGCATTTGAAATCTCAGCTGGACCATGCCACCTACAGTGATCTAATTTCTCAACTGGAGGAATTGATCTTAAAATTGGAACCTTTGGATTCAGCTTGTAGCAGTAGAAGAAGCTCCATTTCATCACATGTAAGTATTCTCACCTTTAAAGGATTTTGTAGGGTAAGATTTTTCCACCTTCGATTGTACTTATTTACCTCTAGGCTCCCCAGATTTGTTGTTTAGATTTCCATTTAGATGTTTTGGTGGGAAGGGGTGAACTTTTGTTCAGCTACTGGATAGCGCTGTGAAGCCTCCGTTTAGGTTGTCTTGGAGCCACATTTTATTTTGTCATTGTTTATTATTTCCTGTTCCCTGATGTATAGCTCCCAGCATAAGTTCTGTTGCTCTAATATGTGATTTCAGGTGCTTCATGCTAATTCGAGTCTGAATGCAGCTCAGGATTATCTCATTTAATCCCCATTCTCACTGCCATGCTTTATGAAGACAAGCTGGAGAAATATGGCAGCTGATGCCACGAGCACATGGAGTGACCCAGCTGCCAGGCACCTAAGCCTTGCTTACCAGTTTGTTCCAATAAGCCATAATGGTTGTTATTAACTTTTCACTTGAGTGTTGGTATTTCTCTGAAAAAGTTATATTAATGTTATAAAGGAAATTTTTAATTTATATTTTTGGAATTCTTTTAATTTTTAGGAAAGTTTCAGCATCTTGGACTCTGGTATTTATCGTGTCATTAGTAGTAGAAGAGGCAGTCAGTCAGATGAAGACTCTTGCTCTCTTCACAGCCAAACCCTCTCAGAAGATGAGAGATTTAAAGAATTCATCTCACAGCAAGAAGAGGACCTGCCAGATCCGTGCTGTGGCTCACATGCAAATGAAGGTGATGAATGTGTCTGTTGTTGGTTGCTGATGTGATGCCATTATTTTCCACAAGTTCTTGTTACCAGGATTATCTTGTGCACAGAATTTCTCTGAAGTGTTAATATTTTTTAACATGTTGATAGAACTTTCCATCCAGATCTACAGATCTGCTCACCACTAGAAGGGTTGGTTTATGTTTTGTATTTTTTCCCCTTATGCTTGGACTAAAATTAGGGCCTATTTTTGATCATGCATCAAAATACTGGAAAAGTTAAAGAAAGGTCATTAACCAAAAGAGTGGGAAGATTTTATCCTGACTAACCAAATTATTTTTCATCAGGAATGAAAAATTACTGCAGTTTTGGGGGTCATTGCCTTCCTTTTTCGATGTATGAATATTCCTGTGGCTGAACTATTGAGAAGAGAATAATAGAGACCCTAAACTTCCTTTTTTACTTATGGGGATTCAGGGTTAGTAGGCAAATGAAGGTACCTGCCTCAGTGTTTTATGTGGACCATCCCATGCATTTTGTAAACCTGTGTTCCACTCATTTGTTTCTGGGTCAGTTGTGATTTTGATATTGAATCCTTCATTTCTTTCGGTTTATTCATTTCAGAATTTTTTTAAAGATTAAAACAACTCCCATGTGATTAGATTTTGTTTCTTTTTTTCCTGATTCCATTCATTAGACAATGTTTCTCACGCTCCAGTGATGTTTGAGACAGATAAGAATGAAACTTTTCTTCCCTTCGGTATTCCATTACCATTTCGTTCCCCATCTCCTCTTGTGTCTCTTCAGGCTGTCAAAGAAAGGTAAACCAATTAGTCTTGTCATTTAATTCCATTTCTGATCTTACTTCAGTTGTCCCATTAGGTAATTTGTTCTGAGAATGGAAAATGAAAAAAAGGAAGTCTCTTGTTTTCCATATACCTGTCATATGAAGCTGTTAACTTCTCATTTACCTTGGGGAATCCAGCTTCCCTCTGTTTTGGTAGTATTTGAGTTGAAGATTTAGGTGCCTCCACTCTTGAGAGATCAAAGATTAAAAGTCTGATGGGAATAGTTTCCACGTATCTTTAGTCTTTAGTTGATCCTTTCTTTAGTCTTTAGTTGGTCAGTTTGGGTTCAGACTTGGAGTCTTTTCAGAGTTCTTTCTGGCTACTCCATGGGACCAGGGTTGACATTTGAATTTGAGAGGGAAGACTTTGTGCAGCTACTTAACCTTTTCAGAATTCTTTCTGGCTACTCCATGGGACCAGGGTTGACATTTGAGTTTGAGAGGGAAGACTTTGTGCAGCTACTTAACTGCTTATCTGAGTCTTACTGGATTCAACTTTTTGTTAAGAAGGGTGTACTGTGACTAGTTAACAGCTAGCTGAGTTGCATGAAGCATTCTTTGTTATTCTCTGACTAGATGGGGCTGATAATCACATGGCTTACTTTGCCTAAGTTGACAGAAATATTACAGATACAGCTGGAGTTAAAGACCTTTTCTTTAGAACTGAAACACTGGTTTCTTAGGGCAGTTTAGTAAATAAAGTGAATCATTATACTGTAAGTTTTATATGGGCCTTATGTGAAATGCTATTATTTGAACAGAGAAGTTGCTATAAACATTCTTTATTAAGTTCAAGTTGCCTTCCTAGGACTAACAGAAACACAGAAAACTGAAGAATGAAAATCTGGGGTTTCCTGGATACTTATGATCATCATGTGGTCATCAGCCCCATTCTGGTTACAGAATAACAAAGAATTGCTTCATGCAACTCAGCTGTTAACTAGTCTTAATATACCCTTCTTAACAAGCAAAATTTGTATCCAGAAAACCTGAGTTTTCACTCTTGGCAGTAATAAGTTTTTATTCATGTTAGTTTTTTGGTATTTGACTTCTAGTGTTTCTAGCTTTGTGCGCAAAACTACTGAGAAGATTGGCACCCTTCACACAAGTCCTGATTTGAAAGTGAGACCAGAGCTCAGGGGCGATGAGCAATCATGTGAAGAGGCTGTGAGTTCAGATATCTACCCAAAGGAGGAAGACATTGAGTAAGCCCTTACACATAAATTTCTGTAAATTCTAGGGAATACAGCTGTCAGTTTTAACAAAGCCATAGACCAAGGTTTTGCAGCCTGCAGCTTGTGGGCCTCATGTGTCCCAGGATGGCTTTGAATGTGGCCCAACACAAATTTGTGAACTTTCTTAAAACATGAGTTTTTTTTGTGATTTTTAAATTTATCTTATTTTTATTTTTAGCTCATCAGCTATTCTTAGTGTTAGTGTATTTTATGTGTGGCCCAAGACACTTCTTCCTGTGTGGCCCAGGGAAGCCAAAAGATTGGACACCTGTGCCACAGCCTATGTCCTTTTGAAGAAGGCACGTGTATGTTCCCATTAGTTGAAGATTGTTCGCGTAGCTTATAAAAATTGTGAATTCTACAAGGTGTTGAAAAATTGCATCAATCCCGAAGCAGCTCTATTGAGCAGAGTTTTAATTTAGCACCTTTCATCCCCTGTACAACTCCCCTCCCTCCCCCACAATCTCTTCAAACTTCTAGGATCTCACAGGAGTATTAGATTAAGAGTAGGATGACCAGGGATGTAGGCCTTGTCCTGGCTCTGCTTATGACTAGTATATGACTTTGGGAATGTCACTGATGCTCTCTGGCCTGTACGATCTAGAATGTGCTATTACTTTATGAGTTAGTAAAGAGAATATTGGATTGAGATAATGAAAAAGAAAAAAGGAATTCTTTAGGCAATGAAGAAACTGTTGATCAAACAGTTGGCATTGATGTCCTGTCAAGTACCTTCACATGATATGCTTGTGGCCTGGTCCTTTGGTAGAGTTGTAGCAGAGCCCTTGATTGGGCATAGCGTGAAGTATCTTGTCTCTCTGGTTTCTGCCTTAAAGTTCAGGGAATCTGAGCATTAAAGGCAAGCAAATTCAGTACTTATCCAGGAATTTAGAGAGAAACCCATGGGACTGGTTTATCTGGACAGTCAGATGAAATAAAAGATTCATAATCCTCAGAATAACTTAGTGAATCCATATGTTTATAGAAAAGTACAGATTTTTTGACACGGCATTTAGTGCAGCCTTCAGTCTAACCCTAGCTACCTTTCTAGCCACATCCTTCTAAGTGCCATAAATTCCACTCCTGTCAGAGAACTAAGTGTTTGCTCTGATACCTCACTACTCTCTTCATGCTATGTCTTCTATCTGGAGTATTCTCTCCCACCATTTTTTGTAGCACAAGTAATACCTCCTTAGGAATGTGTCCCTTTGCCTAGTCAGAAAAAATGATTTATTCTTTGCTTTCATAACACAGTGCTCTTTCAAGAGCTGCCCTTTGGTATTCAACTTATTCTTTTTTTAAATTATAATTAATTGTTTGCATACCTTTCTTTCTAATTAGGGTTTAGTGAAGCTTATTACCTTAAGGCCAAAGACCGCCTTTTATATTCATCTATTCGTTTCATGTAACATGAATATGATACTTGCCACTTAGTAAGCGTAAGAAATAGTTGTCTAAGAAAGCTCTGAGGCTGAGGCAGACAGAATTGCTTGAACTCAGGAGGCAGAGGTTGCCGTGAGCCAAGATCAGGCCACTGCACTCCAGCCTGGGTGACAGAGTGAGACGCTGTCTCAAAAAAGAAAAGAAAAAAAAGAAAGCTCTGATCCTGTCTGACTCTTGTGAATGTTATTGTTATTTTTCACACTTTCTTAGGGAGGATAAAGAGGTAACTAGTCTACCTCCGGAAGAAGACAGGTTCCAGGAGCTTAAAGTAGCAACAACACAAGCAATGTGAGTATAACGAGAAACTTTTTTAGTGACTTCTCAGGGCAGTTTAATAAATGAAGTGAATCATTATATTGTAAGTTTTATATGGGCCTTATATGAAATAGATAGTTGATTAGAGAAGTTGCTATAAATGGTCTTTCCTTTTAAGTCCAAGTTGCTTTCCTAGGAGTAATAGGAACATAGAAAACCCAGGCACTTGGAGTTTTTATTCTTGGCAGCAATAAGTTTTTTTCCTATTAATTTTTTGATATTTGACTTGCAGTATTCCTACCTTTGTGTGTAAAACTACTGTGAAGATTTGCAGCTTTCACTCAAGTCCAGAATGAGAATGACTTTCTGAGACCATCAGTAGTGGTCTGGAGACAGTTTGGGACCAAGGTAGCCTCATTTAGAATTGAAATTGAAGAATTAGGCTGGGCACAGTGGCTCATGCCTGTAATCCCAGCACTTTGGGAGGCCGAGATGGGTGGATCGCTTGAGCTCAGAAGTTTGAGACCATCCAGGGCAACATGATAAAACCCCAAATACAAAAAATAGCTGGGTATAGTGGCATGGACCTGTATTCCCAGCTACTAAGGAGGCTGAGCCAGGAGGATCACTTGAACCTGCAGTGAGCTGTGTTTGTGCCACTGCACTCTAGCCTGGGTGACAAAAACAAGACCCTATCTCAAAAAAAAAAAAAAATTGAAGAATTAGTAAAACATTACAAAGTTTATGTTCTCTGTTTTATCATCTTGTTGAGATAATTTTTATTTAAAAAGTTGAAACGTGTATGGGCGTGGTTGGTGGCTTAGGCCTGTAATCTCAGCACTTTGGGAAGCCGAGGTGGGCAATCACAAGTTCAAGAGATCGAGACCATCTTAGCTAACATGGTGAAACCCCGTCTCTACTGAAAAATACAAAAAAGTTAGCTGGACGTAGTGGTGCACACCTTTAGTCCCAGCTACTCAGGAGGCTGAGGCAGAAGAATCACTTGAACCCAGGAGGCAGAGGTTTTAGTGAGCTGAGGTTGCACCACTGCACTTCAGCCTGGCAACAGAGTGAGACTCCGTCTCAAAAAAAAAAAAAAAAATTGCAAAGTAACATTTATTCCAGATGAGTATGTTATATTGGCTAGATTTATTTAGCATGAATTAATTTGTTTTAAGAAAAACACATGAAACAAATTTCATACTTGTCTGTCTTATATAGGACCAAGCTACAGGATCCTCTGGTTTTATTTGAACCTGAGTCTCTGAGAATGGTTTTACAGGAGTGGCTTTCACATTTAGAAGAAGCATTTGCCATGAAGGACTTTTCAGCCGTTTCAGATACTGACAACTCATCCACGAAATCGAACCAGGATGTACTATTGGTTAATGAATCAAAAAAGGGAATATTAGATGAAGACAATGAAAAAGAAAAAAGGGACTCTTTAGGCAATGAAGAAACGGTTGATAAAACAGTATGTGAATGTGTAAGGAGTCCAAGGGAGCCTTTGGATGACCTGTTTCAAATATGTTCTCCATGCACCATTCCAAGTGGTCTTCAGAATGACCTGGCTGAATTGACAACATTGTGTTTGGAGTTGAATGTATTGAATTCTAAGATCAAAATCACCAGTGGACATGTGGACCACACTTTGCAACAGTACTCTTCTGAGATTCTGGCTTGCCAGTTCCTGAAGAAATACTTTTTTCTACTGGACTTGAAAAGAGTGAAGGAGAGTATCAAGCTTAGTTACACTAATAGCCCTTCTGTTTGGGATACTTTTATTGAAGGATTGAAAGGTAATAATCAGATTGCCTTATCAAAGATAGAAATTTGTATTAAAAAGCAGTAGCACTTTTGAGTTTTGGGTTAAAAAGATTAAAGTAGAAAATCACGTCTGTTCTGATCAACCCGCCATTCTGTTTTTCATTCATTTTAACTTTTAATAGTTCTTCAGACATTGGTTCAATTTACAACTGGATTATAAGAAATTATTTTATTTTATTTATTTATTTTTTTGAGATAGAGTTTCACTCTGTTGCCCAGGCTGGAGTGCAGTGGTGCCATCTTGGCTCACTGCAACCTCCACTTGCTTTTGCCTCAGCCTCCCAAGTACCTGGGACTACAGGTGCACATCACCACACCTGGCTAATTTTTGTATTTTTAATAGAGACGGGGTTTTGCCATGTTGGCCAGGCTGGTCTTGAATGTCTGACCTCAAGTGATCCACCTGCCTTGGCCTCCCAGAATGCTAGGATTACAAGTATGAGCCACTGCGCCTGGCCCTATTTTTTATTTTTAGAGACAGGGTCTCACTCTGTGCCCAGGCTGGAATGTCATGGCATGATCATGGCTCACTGCAGCCTTGACCTCTTGGGTTCAAGTGATCCTCCTGCCTCAGTTTTCTGAGTAGTGGGATTATAGGCATATGCCACTATACCTGGCTGATTTCTTCATTTTTTGTAGAGGTGGGGTCTTACCATGTTGCCCAGGTTGATCTTGAAATCCTGACCTCAAAGCAATCTTCCCACCTTAGCGTCCCAAAATGCTGGGATTATAGGTATGAACCACCATACCCGGCCCTAGAAATTAGTTTTATTTCTCTCATAATGACATTCAGAAAATAGCAGAGCAGTATTGGAGAAGTTGAGGTTAATGTAAAATGTTCATAAATGCAGATGTATTTATGAAGAAAATCCCTCTTGTAACTTACTAATATAGAAATAATATACTATATAGAGTACGTATTGTGTGCCAGATATCATAGTAAACACTTTTCAGCATTGCCTCATTTCATCCTTACAATAATCTTTGGAGTAGATGGTGTAATTTCATTTTATAGATGAGGAATCTGAGGCACAGAGAGATCTTAGGTAGCTAAATGGCTATAATAAATATGTCATAGTAACACAGACATAAATAGAAGTGTGTTTCTTTTTATTTTATTTTATTTTTTTTGAGATGGAGTCTTACTCTTGTTGCCCAGGCTGGAGTGCATTGGCACAATCTCGGCTCACTGCAGCCTCCACCTCCCAGGTTCAAGTGATTCTCCTGCCTCAGCCTCCCCAGTAGCTGGGATTACAGGTGCCTAGCATCATGCCCAGCTGAGTTTTGTATTTTTAGTAGAGACAGGGCGCAGGGTTTACCATGTTGGCTAGGCTGGTCTCGAACTCCTGACCTCAGGTGATCCACCCACCTCGGCCTCCCAAAGTGCTGGGATTACAGGCGTGAGCCACCACACCTGGCCAGAAGTGTATTTCTTGCTCGTGTAACAGTCCAGGACAAGTATTCCAGGTCAGTGGGTAGCTGTCTTCGAGGTGGTAATTCAGCTTTCCAAGTTCCTTCCATTATTTTAAGCTCCAGCTTCCCTTAAAGGTGGTGCTTGTGTTTGGGTTGCTGTGTCCGGGAAAAGCATGTAGAACATGCTGTCTTACAGGCCTGGCCTGGTAGTAGCTTACGTCTCTTCTGTATACATTTCTGTTGGTGAGAATTCTATCATATGGCCCCAACTAACTGCATAGGAAACTGGGAAATGTAATCTATCCAGGTGTCCAGAATGAATATAGGTGAAGAGCTTGCTTACATGTCTGTCTCAGAGACTTTGGTGCACAGCCAGCAGTATTTACCTTGGCTGAAGGTCACACTATGTGTCATCCTAACATATAATAGAAACCAGCTCTCATACCCTAAAAACTATGCATTGCCTTTTCTGCAGCCATAGTCCCCATGTTTTCTTTTTTTTTGAGACCGAGTTTCGCTCTTGTTACCCAGGCTGGAGTGTGATGGCGCGATCTTGGCTCACCGCAACCTCCGCCTCCTGGGTTCAGGCAATTCTTCTGCCTCAGCCTCCTGAGTAGCTGGGATTACAGGCACGTGCCACCATGCCCAGCTAATCTTTTGTATTTTCAGTAGAGACGGGGTTTCACCAAGTTGACCAGGATGGTCTCGTTCTCTTGACCTCATGATCCACCTGCCTCGGCCTCCCAAAGTGCTGGGATTACAGGCTTGAGCCACCGCGCCCAGCCAGTCCCCATGTTTTCGAAGTGAATTTTAATTCCACATTCTGCTTGAATAACAGATGCTGTATTTCGAATAATTGATTTAGACTTTAAGCAAGCTTTTCATTCATTACCAAAAGTGAATAAAGATACATTTTTATGTCATCGTCCTTAAAGATATTTTAGCTTTCTAGAAACATGGATCTATAGTTATAGATCTGCTTTAATTTGAATATAGCAGTTAAAAGCATAATAATTTTTTTTTTTTTTCTGAGTTGAGGTAGATTGTCTTTTGTGTGAAATAAGAAGCAAGCTATTTCTACTCAGGTAGGTGTGACATTATTACTCATTGTAAATTTACTGTATCTATCTCTGTGATGCTGCTTGGTCACAGAAGAGCAGAAAAGAGTCTCTATTAGATGGAGTGATGGTTGTTACTACCAGTGCTTACTAGAAGAAGCACGGTGGACCATTTGAGTGATGTGGCTGCTTACTTGAATTTAGGTGGATATGTCTGATTTAGCTCCCACACAGTCATAAGGCTTCCCCAAACCTCTGAATGGCTTCCTCCTCTGAATTCCTTTAAAGGACTTACTGCCTGACACAGTCAAATGGGGAACAATGAGATTGGGGGGAAAAATGACTTTTTTAAAAAAGCATATATCAGAAATTGAATGTTGGCTCTTAGAACCTGGTGAGTAGGCCTCACCCTTCTAATGTTATAATTATGGGAAATAGCTTTTGGAACTGTTATTTGGGATTTGTCTTCAGAGCTGGTTGAAAACTACTTGTCCAGCCTAGGCATCGTAGCAAGACCCTGTCTCTACACACACAAAACACACACACCAGCCTATGCAATGTAGCAAGACCCTCCAACAAATGGAGGGGTGGGGAGTTGGGGAGGGATAACATGGGGAGAAATGCCAGATATAGGTGATAGGGAGCAAGGCAGCAAACCACATTGCCATGTATGTACCTATGCAACAATCCTGTGTGTTCTTCACATGTACCCCAAAACCTGAAATGCAATAAAATAGATTAAAAAAAAAAAAAAAAAGTAGTTTTAGATCATCACTTACTTCATTCACCAAACTTGATTTTAAATGATGTTTGACGGTTCCAAAAAGTCAAATCTTTTGTTCTTCAGAGAATATTTGCTATACAGATATCTTTAAAAACAGGTCCAATATTTTAAAATTAATTTCATTGAATTTAATTAATTTTAGAAGATGGAGTAAGAATACTAGTTCTAGAAAAAACTGAGCAACTTGGCATTGATAGTAGTGTATATTGCTTTGTGATGTGTGTATATATGGATGGTCGCTATGTATAGCCCTAGATACTCATTATTTTAACAGTAATAGTCACTGATATATTAATTATATGTTCCTTTGTCTTATTTAAAACTTCCAATCTGCTTTGCCTACCAATTTGATTTTAAGATTCTTAAAAGTAGAGATGCAGCTCTTGTTTTTTTGTTTCTCCTACAATGCTTAACAAACACTGGGCCTTTCACATAGTAGGTCCACACAGTAGGTATGTGACTAATGATTGCTGAATGAACATGTTCATGAATTGAATATTTCTACCCGAGAGATAAAGGGAAAAGGATATGCTTTATATTTCAGAAATGGCAAGTTCCAATCCTGTGTATATGGAGATGGAAGAAGGAGATCTCCCAACAAGACTAAAGTTGCTAGATGCTGCAGTTCCTTTTGACAGTCCTGTGTTGATTGCTTATGCTACTAGGTAAGTTGTCCTATATATTGTTTATATGGACTAAAGCACATGCATTTTTTGTATATTTTAGTCTCTAACGTTTTACTCATTTGCATATGAGGCAGCTTCTGTTATTATATTTATTTTCATTTGTAATAAGTAACTCAAATGTAACCAAGTTACAACATTTCACTGAAATTAGAGACTAAAGTGTTTTGTTTTTAAATGCAGGTTATATGAGAAGTTTGGGGAATCTGCCCTTCGATCCTTAATCAAGTTCTATCCATCCATTTTGCCATCGGATATCATGCAACTTTGTCATCGTCACCCTGCTGAGTTTTTGGCCTATTTAGACAGTCTGGTGAAATCAAGGCCCGAAGATCAGCGGTGAGAAGGAGAGCATATTTGCAGACTCTCCTTTCTTTTGATAGGGCATTGTTTCTCTTTTATAAGCAGGTGTCACATTTTTACTGTTAATTACCAAGGGCACCTACTATGAAAGAGAAGGATTTGGGCAGCCTTGTAACATTCTGCCACACGTCACACCACACATCACAGATGTGCATGTACCACACTTCTTTCCCTCCCTCTCGGGGATTCTCAGATCAGTGCAAAATTAAACCCTTGATTCAGGGCCTGGACTAAGAAGATAAGCTTCTTACTGTCTTTGCAGTGAGTGGATTCACTGCCACCTTTTTATTGCCATAGATATCAGTTCCAGCTCTTGTCTTTTTTAGGCTGATGTCTGATTTTCTGTCTCCCCATGCTTGTAACACTTGTGACCTGAGCCCATGGCTTATTAGACTAGCAGCGTCCTCCTTTCTTCTTTTGATTGGTTCATATTTGCCACAATGTTGCCCAAGCTGGATGCAGTGGCTATTCATGGATGTTGTCACAGCATACTACAGCTTCAAACTTAAGGTCTCAGTGATCTTCCTACCTTGGCCACACTGGTTTTTATTTGTTTCTTTCTCTCTCTCTTTTTTTTTCTTTTTTGGTCCTTTGACATTTTTCTTGTTATCTTGGAGCTTAGTCTCCAGTATTTCCAGACACTTCTTTTAGCAGAAGAGTTTTCAAGTTATTTAATCTACTGTATTCATCTTTTAATCAGGTTTTCTTCACACTCCCCACATTTTATGTTTCCTTTCTTAGTGTGAAGATTGGTGACTCTTTCTCCCAACTTTGTCTTAGGTCATGTTTTCTTGAGTCCCTTCTGCAACCAGAGTCTTTAAGGTTGGATTGGCTGCTTTTGGCAGTGTCCTTTGATGCTCCACCGATCACCAGCATAATGGATGATGAAGGTTATCCCAGGTACGGAAGAAGTCCTCTTCCTTTTTTTTTTTTTTATTTTGAGACAGGATCTCACTCTGTCACCTAGGCAGGAATGTAGTGGTAAAATCATGGCTTCCTGCAGCCTTGACCTCCTAGGCTCACACAATTCAGCCTTCCCACCTTAGCTTCCTGAGTAGCTGGGAATATAGGAGCACACCATCTTGCACGGCTCATTTTTTGTACAGATGGAATTTCACCCTATGGCCCAGGCTGATCTCAATCTCCTGGGCTCAAGCTGTCTACCTGCCTTGGCCTCCCAAAGTGCTGGGATTACAGGCATCAGCCACTGCACCTGGCTAGGAGTCTTCTTTCTAAGGATTAAGCTCCAGTATTCCTTTGGAATGGAACTGGTTTATTCACATACGGCATTCTGGGCTCACTTTAGGAACAGCTGTGGAAGAGACTGACATGGTAGTAATGAGATTAAGTGTATTTCTTAGTGGCTCTGAAATATTTTTGGGTCACCCTATAAGAATCTGATGCTTCCTTTTAGAAAAATGCACAGTCATGCAAAATGTTGCACAACTGACCCCTTGCAAGTTTTTCATGGACCGTATTAAGAGACCTTGATCAATAAGCCTGCAAGAGGCTGGGTGGTGGTTAAACTGGGTGGTGGTGGGGGGGTGGGGGCGATTAGGGAGATAAGTATGTGTGTTTTCTTCCTAAAAATTTGTCAAGGAATTTCTAGACATAACCTGATTTAGGACTTTAAAAAAAATAAAATTCAAAAAAAGAACACACTGCTACTTGTGTCAGAACTATTCCTTTCGTTTTCCGCCAGGAGAAGCTTCTTAAAAGACCCCCAAATGCCTTTCTTATATTTATATTAAAAAGTCTGGAAGGATGTGCAGTGGTTATCTGTGAGTGATAGAATTATAGAATTAAAAGAAAAAAACTTTACTTTGCTTTTGATTACCTAAAGTCTCTAATCTTTAAAAATAAAGAGGTTATAGGAAAATAGCTATTTTTAATTTTTCAAAAGCCAAATAGAAGTGTTTTAATAGATTGCAATTAAATTCTGTTCTTACCTATTAGGTGATTAATAAGCACTTTCTACGGTTTATTTCCTATCTAATTTACTGATACTTTTTCATTTCATAGGCCTCATTCACACTTGCTTTCCTGGGGTTACAGTCAGCTGATCCTTCATCTAATTAAACTTCCTGCGGAGTTTATAACCAAAGAGAAAATGATTGACATCTGCAGGTCTTGTGGGTAAGTGAGAATTTTCTTAGAAACTGAAGTTAAGATTAGAAACATTTCAGTTAACAACCTTATAATTAAGAGTCTTAATTGATAATTATTATTTGGGGATTCTTTTTGCTGTGGAAAAGTACCTTTCTGTTTTAAGTGGTAGTGAATTAAACATCTATTTCCCTTTGAAATTTCATGCTTTTTTTTTTTTTTTTTTTGGTGTGTGTAGCCTTTCCTAATTCCTCTCCACTCCCTCTGCTTTAGTTGCCAGCCCCAGTTCTCAGGCATGTAGATAGTATTTAATTAAGCATCAGATTATGTGATACCAATTATAATTGATACAGGCTTTTATAATTAATACAGTAAGAGAGAGATCAGAATGGGCTCAATAGAATCGCTGGTGAAGGACTCAGGGAGGAGGTAAGATTTTGGAGATAAAACCTAAAACCTGGGTAGGATTTGTATTTATAAAGGAGCTAGGAGAGGGTGAGTTAGGTGAGAGAAACAGAGCAAGAGCATGGAAAACTGACATTGCTTATTATCCACATCACACTTCAGTCAGTTATTTATTGCCTGGTGATATTGTCTTACAGTTCCACCTGGATTATAATCTTTTGGAGATATAGGGACTTGTGTCTTTCTTTTCCCTCATAGTGTCTATATCTAATTTGTATAGTGGTAGGCACTTGATACATATTTGTTCATTGTTAATGAGACTGAGACTGGCCAGGTGGTGGGTGACAAGATCGTGCAGGCCCTTGAAAGCTGGCAGAAGAATTTAGTTATCAGTAGAGATGTTTTTAGACTTTTGGTGCAAAAATTGCATAAGGAAAGTGGAGCTTTCTAGAGATCATTTCTGATGTCATACATGAGAAGGCTGGAGACAGAAGGCCAGCCAGGAAGCTGTTGTAGTAATTCAGACATGAGTGGATTGGTGATTAGTAGGGCAGCAAAAGGAGCACATCCAGTGGGCATTTCAAAGGAAAATGCAGTGGGGCATGCTGATACTGGATATAGCAAATGAAGGAGGGGAAGAGTCAAGGAGGTCTTAAAAGTTTGCATATTTGGAGAAGAAATATGCTAGGTTTGTGTTGAATTTTAAAGGTTATAAAGTGAATAAAGTTTAAATGCCTTATAATTGGAGCTTGGCCTCAAATGTCAGCATTTGTTGCTATTTTTTTCCCCTTAAATTCTCTAGATCAGCCAGGCGCAGTGGCTCACGCCTGTAATCCCAGCACTTTGGGAGGCTGAGGTGGGCGGATCACCTGAGGTCAGCAGTTCGAGACCAGCCTGAACAAAATGGCAAAACCCTGTCTTATAAATATATATATTTTTTAACTTAAAAAAAAAAGAAAAATAAATTCTCTAGATCAGGACCGTCTAACAGAACCTTCTGTGATAGTGGAGATATTCTACTGAACTGTCCAATGGTGGCCACTAGCCACATGTAGCCATCGAGTACTTGAAATGTGAATATGTTAGCTGAAAAATTGACTTTCAGATGTTATTTACTTTTAATTAATTAAATGGAAATAGCCACGTGTGGCTGTGTCTACCGTATTGGACAGCACAGCTCCAGATAAATTCACTGCCTTTTATTCCTTTCTTCAACTTTGGTCTCCTTAAAGTTTCTGGCCTGGATATCTAACTCTCTGTTTGGAGCTGGAGAGAAGAAGAGAGGCTTTCACCAATATTGTGTATCTGAATGATATGAGCCTGATGGAAGGGGACAATGGTATGTCAATCCTAACTGGTTACTCTTGGTTATAATGTTTAGAAGTTACTCCAGACTTCTCAACAAAGAAATTTGGTGAACCTTTCAATGATCATATATTTAATATATAATTCTACTTAGTTGTCACATTTGTGGAGTTTTTTTTTTTTTTTTAATCTATAGCCCTTGCTATGTTGTGAAATCATAATAAGAATAAACTACAGGCAACTTTCCTATTTCATAAGTGCCTACTATATGTTAGGCACTATACTATGTGCTTTCCATATGTTATTTTCAATGAGATAACAAACTCTGGGGATAGTTACTACTCCACTTTCCAGATCACTGGGGTACAGAAAGGTCAGTTAATTGGCCCAAAGTCACACAGCTACTAAAGGTAAATGCTGGAGCTGGGGTTCAGACCAAGGTCTTCCTCCAAAATTTATGCTCAGGCTCTTTTTACTGCTTCATGTTGCCTCTTTTTTTTTTTTTTTTAAATCCCATTAATTAAAGATGATTCTGGCCAGTTGTGGTGGCTCAGGCCTGTAATTCCAGCACTTTGGGAGGCTCACCTGAGGTCAGGAGTTTGAGACCAGCCTGGCCAACATGGTGGTGAAACCCTGTCTCTACTAAAAATATAAAAATTAGCTGGGTGTGGTGGTGCCTGCCTGTAATCTCAGCTACTGGAGAGGCTGAGGTAGGAGGATTGCTTAAACCTGGGAGGTGGAGGTTGGAGTGAGCTGAGATCGCACCAGTGCACTCCAGCCTGGGTGACAGAGCAAGATTTGGTCTCAAAACAAAAAAAGAAAAATTTGTTGGATTCATCAAGTTCTTTTCTGTGTCACGTTGTCTTCTATGCTTCCTTTATCAGAAATGGAGGGCTCTTTATTTCTGATGGCCCCCTACTCCAGGTTTTTACATTATGTGGGCCCCATGCACATGCGCTCTAAACTTGTCTCGTCTTTTAGCTTTCTGTTCAATGTCATTTCCTCATAGAGCCCTTCTCAGATCTTCCAGGCAGTCAGCCATTCTCTCTAATGCTTCCTTGTTCATTTTTTTTATAGTACTTAGCATAGTTTATACATATATATTGACATGTTTAAGTTTTGTCTCCTATAATAGACTGTAAGCTCCACAAGAGTGCAGGGATTGTGTCTCTTTTGTTCATCATTACATATCTAGTGCCTAGCATAGGATATGCCATGGGCAATTACTGAGTGGTTGAAAGAATTCTGAAGCTGCCTGGGTGAGGTAATTCATGCCTATAATCCCAGCACTTTGGGAGGCTGAGGTGGGAGTATTGCTTGAGCTCAGGAGTTCAACACCAGTCTGAGTAACATAGTGAGACCCTGTCTCTCTTTTAAAAAAAAAAATTTGAAGTTAATTTTGTGGCTTCTCTTTATCATGAAGAATTTATACAACAAATTTTCAGAAAACAAATTGTATTAGGATGATGCAATTATGGTCTTAGATATTTTTATGTTTTGGTATTAAACATTTTCAGTTTTGACTATCTCCTGTATTCAGTCACTGTGCCAAGAGTGATCAAAACCAACATAATTTCCCTGTGTGTGTTTAGGTTGGATCCCAGAGACTATGGAGGAATGGAAGCTTCTCCTTCATCTCATACAGAGCAAGAGCATGAGGCCAGGCCTGCAGGAGTCACTAAATAGGAGCCTCAGTGATGGGCCTTCCCCCATCAATGTGGAGAACGTGGCACTTCTGTTAGCTAAGTCCATGGGCCCAGATCGGGCTTGGTCACTGCTACAGGAATGTGGTCTGGCCCTTGAGTTGTCAGAGAAGTTTACCAGAACCTGTGATATCCTGAGGATTGCTGAGAAAAGGCAGAGGTAATACCAGTTTGTCCTGTGCTCTGCATGGTGCTTGGAGAAGGTAGAACACCACACCTTCAGAGGTAGATATGGAGATCACCTAGTTCCGACCCGTCACTAACATGAGGAGACTGATATTGATCTGGTAATTAAGGGAAGAGGCTAAAGTAATATTTCATTCACAGTTCTGACCAGGGTGCTGTTCAGATTAACCTGAATCATCTGATGTATCCTTGATTCTTTAAAAATATTACTGGTTGGGCGTAGTGGCTCACATCTGTAATCCCAGCAATTTGGGAGGCTGAGGTGGGTGGATCACCCAAGATCAGGAGTTTGAGACCAGCCTGACCAATATGGTGAAACCCTGTCTCTATTAAAAAAAATACAAAAAATTTGCCAGGTGTGGTGGCAGACACCTGTAAATCTCAGCTATTTGGGAGACTGAGGCAGGAGAATCGCTTGAACCTGGCAGTGAGCCAAGATCGTGCCATTGCACTCCAGCCGGGGCAACAGGAGTGAAGCTTTGTCTGAAAAAAATGTATTACTGGTACCAGATACCTAATGTCTCAGTCTTTTTTTTTTTTTAATTGTGGTATAATACACATAACATTTATTATCTTAAGAATTTAAAAATGTTAGCTCAGTTGTATTAACTGTATTCACATGGTTTTGTATTCAGTCTCTAGAACTTTTTCATTTTGCAAAACTGAAACTCCACACCCATTAAACAACATTTATTTCCTCTACCTAGCCCCTAGCAACCACAATTCTACTTTATGTTTTTATTAATTTGACTATTCTAAATACCTCAGCTTAGTGGAATTAATACATTTGCCCTTTTGTGACCGGCCTGTTTCACTGAGCATAGCATCCTCAAGGTTTATCCATGTTGTGGCATGTATCAGGATTTCCTTCCTTCTTAAGGCTGAATAATATTCCATTGTATATATATGCCGCCTTTTGTTTATCTATTCATCTGTTGACGGACACCTGAGTTGCTTCTACTTCCTGGCTATTGTGAATAATGCCGCTATGAATATGAGTATACAAATATGTCTTCCAGACACTGTTTTCAGTTCTTTTGGGTATATACCTGAAAGTAGAATTCTTGAATTATGTGGTAATTCTATTTTTAATTTTTGAGGAACCACCATACTGTCTTGTGGAGACCACACCATTTTATTTTCCTGCCAGCAGTGCACAAGGGTTCCAGTTTTTCCATGTCCTAGCCCCACACATCATTTTCTGTTGTTTTTTGTTACATAGTAGCTATCCCAATGGGTGTCAGGTACTCTCTCATTGTGGTTTTTTTGATTTGCATTTTTCTAGTGATTAGAGAGATGTTGAGCATCTTTTCATATGCTTATACCTATTCAAGTCCTTCGTGCATTTTGAATCAGGTTGGGTGTTTTTGTTGTAGATGTTGCTGAAAGAGTTCTCTGATATTCTGGATATTAACCCCTTATCAGATAAATGATTTGCAGATATTTTCTTCCATTCTGTACGTTGCCTTTTCACTGTGTGGATTGTGTCTTTTGATGCACAGAATCAGTCAACTTTTTGAATCCTCTAAGACTCTGTAGGTTTTTAAGTTTTCTGTGAAGAATGAATAATGACAACTAAATTTGCTTGTTTCTTTTCTTTGGGATTTCAGGGCCTTGATACAAAACATGCTTGAAAAATGTGATCGGTTTCTCTGGTCCCAGCAGGCCTAGTGGGAGAAGATTCAGCAGGATGTCATGACATTTTGAGAAAAACTAAATCATGCTCCTGGACCTTCTGAATGCTTTTGTTATTGAAAGAAAGACACCACACCCAAATCCTGCCACCTTATTGGGGTTACTTTTGTCAGGATCTGTACCCTTGGCATCGGCATCTGTGACGCTTTATTTGTGACCTCAGCATTACTCCACATTTCTTAACCAAAGTTGGATTTTGAAAACAGTCAGTTCTTGGTTGCTGGAATTAGAATGTGAATATCCTAGTATTATTCTGAACTACAGTATTAATTGCTTGTTGCTAGTGGATTAGAGATTCTTTTCTTACTGTGGCTTTTATATGGGGAGCAGAAGCTTTTCATCCTGGTCACATGAAGACAGATAATATTATTGACTGGAGTTGAATTTTTTTATATCTTGTCTGGTGCAATCTGGAAATTACTGAAATAAGACCTTGTATAATGGAATTAACACACCAAATAAGTAGAACACTGAAGATTTGAATTAGATATTTAAGTAAAATGGGACCAGGTGCAGTGGCTGAGGCCTTTAATCCCAACTCTTTGGAAGATCAAGATGGGAGGATCATATGAGGCCAGGAGTTCAAGACAAGCCTGAGCAACAAAGTGAGAACTCATCTGTACAAAAAATTTAAAAATTAGTCAGGTGTAGTGGTGTGTGCCATTAGTCCCAGCTACTCAAGAGGCTGAGTTGGGAGGTACTTGAGGCGAGGAGGTCCAGGCTGCAATGTGTTTGTGCCACTGCACTCCAGCCTGGATGACAGAGAGAGCCCTTGTCTCAAAAATAAATAAAATAAATGTTTTCATATCTAAATTAAGCTAATTATTTAATATTGTCTAATCTGAACCTATATACAACTGACTAATTGATTCTTAGAAATGTGTTATCTTTAATCTTTCCTAAACAGAGTAGCCCAGAAGAGTCATGCACTTTTTAAAATTATTTTTAAGAAGCCATAACAAAGCTGTGTACTAATAAGGACTGCAGCAAGCATTTGTATTATTTAAATTATGTAAGTAGATTGTCGTTTGTCAGGCTCCTGTACATTTACATAGCATATTATATTAATAATAAATGTAAAGTATGACTAAAATTTTCATTTGAACAGAATGTAGACAGGAGGTTTATTTTGAGCATTTTGCAGAAAGGTGTAGAGTAAGTAAAGTGTTGGATGCATTGAACCATTCAAATCTTTTCTTTTCTAACACAGCTAGAGAACATGGACACAAATCACTGTTACACTTACACATGACACCTAGATATGATTGACCTTATGGGATAAAGAGATTGTCAGGGAAAGGAGGCTTCACAAAGCTGCTTAGAATTCTGGGAAGTATGGAAAACCTTCCCACTAGGATAATTTGCCTTTTGGCTGTGTTAGATTATGTTGAAATGTGAGTCTATAGATAAGGATGAGAGCCCCCACGCTACTCAGCACAGTGACTGCAAGAAGGCCCATAGGAAATCCCTTGACAAGCAGACAACATGAACTAGCACAATTGTGCAATCATTTCCTGACAGACCTTCACAAGGCACAGCAATTCTCATTCGATACAGAGAGAAATTTCTAGTATAACAAAAATAAATCCTGCCCCTTGAATTTATTTTCTAAGGCAAACAAAAATCACCTTCATGACATTTTGGGCTAGATGAAAAAAAAGAATCCCCCTCAGTTAAACATTTAAACGTACAGTCTATTTGGGTATTAGGCAGTGTTTCAAAATAGAACTTGTGTCTTTCTTTCACTTGCCTAAAAGTTCTAGGCAGATTGTGATGCATGGTTGCCTCACTTTCACTTTTGTTTCCAGCTCTGACCACTGTTTTACAGGGCAGCATAGTGGCTGAGAGCTTGTGTTCTGAGGCTGACTGCGTAGGTTTGAATAGTTTCTCTTTTGCTGAGTGACTTTGGGAAGTTCCTTTGTTTCTCTAAGTTTTAGCCTTGTCATCTGTAAAATTGGGATGATAGTAGCTCTGATTCAGGGTAGTTTGAGGATCAGATGAGATAATGAATGGCACACAGAAAGAGTGAGGTGTTAGAGCTACCCATTAGTGAGAATTAAAGGACATTGAAATGTAGGGCACAGTGCCTGTGACAGTGTATAGGTAATAACTGTAGCTGTTGTGAGAAGGGTTTGGGATGTCATTGTTTCACCTAGTAGTTATCAGACCCATAGATACTGGATTTACATGAGCTGGAGAGAGTGGGAAGGCAAAATTGAAATTAATAATTTCCTCGTCTGTGTTAAATTTGTGACTGCCCTGGTTAAGGCTCAAAACCTTGTAGTAGTCATCCTTGCCTCTTCCTCCTCCTCTACCCTCACTTCTAATTACTAGGTTCATTCTCTCAATTCTGCCTTGCTGGTGTTTTCCATTAGTCATTTTTTCCCATTATCTCTGGCCACCAGCCCACATTCTCATTACTTCTTGCCTACCATTGCAGCAGTCTTAAGTGACCTTCCTCTCTTCACCTCTAACCACTGATATCCCATCACTGCCACCAGTTCATCTCAGCACAATAAATGTAAACAATTTTAGATAATCACCCAGTCAGGTGATTCATAAACCTGGCTATACATCAGAATCACCACAGGAGCTTGTTAAAAATGCAATTGCTGGCTTGGTGCAGTGGCTCATGCCTGTAGTCCCAGCACTTTGGGAGGCTGAGGTGGGCGGATTATCTGAGGTCAGGAGTTAGAGACCAGCCTGGCCAAAATGGTGTAACGCCATCTCTACAAAAAATAAAAAATTAGCTCAGCGTGGTGACATGCGTGTGATCCCAGCTACTAGGGAGGCTGAGGCAGGAGGATCACTTGAACCCAGGAGGCGGAGGTTGCAGTGAGCTGAGATTGTACCACTGCACTCCAGCCTGGGCAGCAACACATTGAGACTGTCAAACCCATGAACAACAGTAACCCAGTTTGCTGGACATGGTACATGCCTGTAGTCCCAGCTACTTGGGAGACTGACGCAGGAGAATCGCTTGAACCTGAGAGGCAGAGGTTGCAGTGAGCTTAGATCACACCACTGCACTCCAGCCTGGGTGATGGAGTGGGACTGCATCTCAAAACAAAACAAAACAAAACAATTGCTATCCTATTCCAAACCCGAAATCTATAGATCAAGGGATGAATTTATTATCCTAAACCTATCCCAAACCTGAAATCTATAGATCAAGGGATGAATTTATTATCCTAAAACCTATCCCAAACCTGAAATCTAGAGATCAAGGGATGAATTTATTTTTATTTTATTTTTGAGTTGGAGTCTCACTCTGTTGCCCAGGCTGGAGTACAATGACAATCTCAGTTCACTGCAACTTCTTGGTTTCAAGGAATTCTCCTGCCTCAGCCTCCTGAGTAGCTAGGATTACAGGTGTGTGCCACCATGCATGGCTAATTTTTGTATTTTTAGTAGAGACGGGTTTCACCATGTTGACCAGGCTGGTCTCAAACTCCTGACCTCAAGTGATCTGCCCGCCTCGGCCTCCCAAAGTGCTGGTATTACAGGCTTGAGCTACTGTGCCCAGCCTCAATGGACTAATTTAACCTCCTTCAACTTGCCACCCACCCCCACACTGTTCTGAGATTTAGATATAGAGTCATCCTCATGTATAGATGCACGACAGCCCCTGATAAAGAGCGTTTATCTTGCTCTTATGGGAAGTTAATTGCAGATGCACTGCCAGGATCTTTGTCCCCTTGGGGTACAGTCAGGCTAATTCCCAGTCAGAAATGATCAGCAGCTCCCCTGTTTTCAGAGTACAGCCTAAGCCTTTGGGCTTGACGTTTAAGGCCCTCTGTGATCCATTTCCAAACTTTTTCTCAGTTTCAGAGCCGAAGTTTGTCTCTCCTCCTGGGTCCTCCGTTCCTTGCATACGTTCTGCACTTTGCCCTTTCTGCATATGTTCCTGCTCAACCCTGGCGTGGCTTTTCACCTGTTGCCTACCTGTAAGATGTTGCTCATCGTCTGCAGAAGTCTGACCTGCAGACCCTGACTCAACGACAGATGAATGAATGCGCTCTCACACCATTACTGCAAGTGGGCTAGGGATGGCCATTGACTGCTTTCAGAGGGTGAAATGCAACCAATCAACCCAGACCCTCTATCTGTCCACACATTTATTCCCCCAAGATTTTACAACAGAGGTTCTAAGTTAACACATTTGTGGATAATTAATATGGTTAAAAGAGTAGTTATAGGACTGATAAAAGCTTTAGGTTCAGGGGCCCAGAGTAAATGCTATTAACAGGTAATTCCCCTTTGATCTTCCCCAGAGAGACATCCAGCACAAAGTTAACATGAGTAAACAGAGTAGAGATGAATGGGTGTGGGGTAAGCCTTTTGATGGGTCTCTATCTCTTTCTAACTTAATGGACTGGCTGGCTGCCTTAGGCCTGCGGCAATAAAACCTTTCAGCTTTCCAAAAGGTTTGAGACTATATAACTTTCCCTATTTTCCATAATATTTTGCTTCCACCCTGAGTGAACAGCAACATTTCCTCCCTTGTTTTCAACAATATCAGGCTTTGCTATCTGCCAGCCACTGATTGGTTCAGCTGTGGGTCTGTCAGGTGATGTGGTCATTGCTTTTATTCCAGCTTTGCAGCCTAGGATTAATCAATAACAAGACAATTATGACTACAATTAGCAACAGTTTCCAGCTAAAGAGTGACTTCCAGGAATGGGGGGGGGTCTAACCAGGAGAGAGGATCTTGCACACCTTTCCATATTTTTGACCAGATTATCCACAAAAGCAGCTGTTTTATGGCTGAGAGTATAAAAGCTAGAAGTGTAACTATGAATCTTTTATATTTGACCTGTAGTATTACTTGGCATTTCGGTTTACCGTATGACATTAATGAGAAACTTTACTGGGGGTATGTTAATCTTTTTTAGTTAAGCAGTTGCCTTGTTAGAAGCTGTGAAGGGGGTGTTAGTTTGTTACAAACAGAAAAATTGTGGATTAGAAGATGAGCTTGATAGAGTGTAGCAAGTACAGGTTGCTGGCAAGGTGAAAGAATAAAAAACAAATCCTAAGCAGGATTCGGTTAGTTTTTTGCGTTGTCCTCTTCAGCATTCCTCAGGTGAAGTTTGGGGCTTCTGTGGTCTAACTAAGAAAGCTGCATCGTCCCGCAGGGTTTCTCTCAGGCTGGCTTGAGTTTTTTCTTCTTTCCATCCTTTAATGAGGATGCAGTCTTTTGGCTGGTGCTGGTGTGCTGGAAATTCTAGTAGTTTTGCCTGTGCTAAGAGACTTAATAATTTTTGTAAAAGAACAGGTTAGTGCTTTAAGAAAAATGTTGCCAGTACAGAAAAACTGGATATTTCTTTAACTTTTAACCAGTATGTTTACACACAGAATTCCTTTTACAATTAATGTTTTAAAACTTGCTTAGACCTTTAAAACAAAATTTATATAACCTACTTGCATAAATTCCCTTCTATAACATTTTTCACAACTTTCACTGACAACCTGGACATGCCTTAACATCTTGTGACTGTTTTACAACCTGCCTTACCTCTTTCTTTTTCTCTCTCTCTTACTGATTCTTTCTATTTCTCTTTTTGATTTTTCTGTTTCTGTCTGTGTTGGTTAAGCAGTGATGTTATCACTTGTAAGTCTGCTTGTTTATTGCCATAAACTAATAGGCCAGGCAGTGAGCTGTGGGCTCAAAATTAGACTTAAAGCTGCTTTAAGATTTTGTAATAGATAAGCTGAGTAAGCCAAGTTACTTACTGTATTTATAAGCTGAGCAGAGAAAGTTTCTAATGCTAGTATCACGGCTTTAATTTCAGTTCTTTAACTGCTAGCAAACTTAGATTGGGTGATTGAATTATGTGGTTTTTACCAGACTTTAGTTTTTCTTTGTTTACTTACCTATTCAGCAAACAGTGTTAAAGCATTAGGTACAGAGAAGGGCAATACTGCTTTAAATTGTTTTTTCCTTAAAGGAATCTTGATGATATTAGGATTAACTTAACAATTGACTGCAGTAATCGTTCAAATGGCAAGCTGAAATTGGTAACATGAAGTTTAAAAGGAAACTTGAAAATATCTCTAGAAGCAAAGACTCAAAGAATATACTTTAACCATGTGCTTAAAATTATAGGCAGAATAGCTTAAACCTTGCTGTTGAGTTTTAAGGCTGACCAAGTTTATGGACTTTAAACTAGCAAACTGTTCTGAAAACAATGATTTCCTAGTTGAGCAAAGACTATCTCTAATCCATCTTTCGTGCATATGTTTTCACCACACTCAGATACAAACTTCTTTTACCTTTTGAGAAATGGGTACAACATTTTTACTTCTTAATTCAATAATTATTATTTAACTTGGCTTAAAGGATAATGTGTAGTTTTACATGCTTAGTTTTTAATTGCTCTTTAACTTATTTGTGGGCCTTTTTAAAATAGCTGATTGAAATTTATCATCTAAATTTACAAAATTAAGGGTAAATAAGGCTTGTGCTAATGGTGCTGCCTTTAAGATAGAAAACAGGTTTTGCAACTTATCAATCAGAAAATTCTTTTCCATTGAGGAGCAAGGCTATATGGCTGGCTTTTAATTGCTTCTGTAATTCATGGGCTAGCTGTAATTTCTCTCCATTCAGAGATTACTGCTTTACTTAATTTGAATTTTAAAAGAGCTACATTAAGAGTAAGGTTGGAATAACAACAGTGGCTAATGTTAGCAAAAGGTTTTAAAATCCTTAAATTTTACTTACATCTTAGCAGAGAATTACAGTTTGGGATGTTGCTCATATACAAAGAACACTGTGGGACATCTGTGTGACCCCGCCCTGCTGCTGCTTGCTGCATGCTGCTTTCGGCTTGCTCTGCTCCCTCCTCCTGCCCCGGCTGCGGCTGCCAGCCTGGGCGGAGCTTCCCTGCAGCAGAACCTTTTCTCCCTTTTTTTCCTTTCACTTGGCTTCGTGTCTTTAGCCTGAAATGCCTTTTTCTTATCTTTCCATATACATACACCTGATTGCCTTGCCATTATCAATTACTGGGCAGGCTAAGAGTTTCTTTTGTAATGCTGCTTGCTTAAAACAATTTCCTATAGCTGTAGCATTTCCTTTGACCCTTTTCCTATTTATTAGATGCCTCTGTGCATAATTCCTCCCGTGTTCCCAGAGCTTTACGTCCAGCGTGGATCCCTTTACAGAGATCCATGGTCCTTGGGAAACAGCAGTTTGAATTAAGTTTCTTAGTGGAGCTTGATCCTGTTTCTCTTGCACTGATAACTGCTGTCCCATGCTGAAGCCCTAACCTGAAACAATGCCTCCCCGAGCCTGGCAACTCCCAGTGGCTACCAATGACTTTCTTCTACTTTACCTGACCTGACTGCATGGCCCTCTTTACTCTCTGGTCTCGGGAGGTCTGCTGTTTCTTCTTTCCTTCTTCACGGTGATAAGTCACCACCTGAGACGTTGCTCACCATCTGTGGAAGTCTGACCTGCAGACCCTGACTCAACGATGGATGAATGAATGCACTCTCACACCATGACAGTGTTTGAAGTGGGCTAGGGATGGCCATTGGCTGCTTTCAGAGGGTGAAATGCAACCAATCAACCCAGATCCTCTGTCCACACATTTATTCCCCCAAGATTTTACAACAGAGGTTCTAAGTTAACATATTTGTAGATGATTATTGTGGTTAGACGAGTGTTATACGGCTGACAAAAGCTTTAGGTTCAGGGGCCAGAGTAAATGTTATTAACAGGTAATTTCCCTTTGATCTTCCCCATCCAGCACAAAGTTAACATAAGTGGAAATGAATGGGTGTGGGGTAAGCCCTTTGATGGGTCTCTATCTCTTTCTAACTTAATGGACTGGCCGGCTGCCTTCGGTCTGCCCCAATAAAACCTTTCGGCCTCCCAAAAGGTTTGAGACTATAATCTATAACTTTCCCTAAATATTTTCTGTAATATTTTGTCGCCACCCCGAGTGAATAGCAACACACGATTTCGCCAGAATTCTGTCCCCCTCACATGGATGTGAGGCCTGTGTAATTAGAACCCTGAGCTTATGCAGGCCCCACACTTGGTTTAATGTTCTGCTTTCACTGTTTTGAAATTCTTAATAATTGATGGACAAAGTTCCCCACATTTTTTTTTCCTGTTCTGGCTTCTCAACAAGTCCCCCTATTTTTATTTTGCAGTGGTTCCTACAAATTGGGTAGGTGCTACTGACTGCCACAGTAGATCTAGGGTATAGCCCAAGATTTTGCATTTCTGACAAGATGCCAGGTGATGCTGATGCCTCTGGTCCGTGGGTCACACTTTGAGTAGCAAAGCTCAGTCTAAAGCGTGTTAGACCTAACAACTTGGAAGGAACCTGAAAGACAGTATGGAGCCGACGTCCCGACAGCTGAAATACTACTCATCACAAACTGTTAAGTGAGACATAAATTTGGATTTTTTTTTAACATTCTGTATTTTGGAGTATCTTTGTTAAAGCAAGTTAGCCTTACCCTAACTAAAGGAAGTGAAGGAGAGCAGGTCGCACAGCTGTTCCGTCCTTTTCTAATTTTGGAAAAAATATTGGAAAAAGCCTACAAGGCCTTTTTTGAGTGGTCAAATCCAAGCTCATGCTCTCTGGTTCGCTTCCTCTGGTGCTGGGGTGTGGGGGTGCTGACCGGAATGGCCCTCCCGATTTGAAGGGTTGGAGACTGACTTTGGAAGAAGACCTGTTTGACTTCTAGCCCAGACCATGCAGTGCAGCCCAACTTACCAGAGTTCTGTCTTGAAGTTTGGGACCAAACCCCAACCAACAATCGAGTACTGGTCATTGTCCTCAGAACTGTCTCCACTGGGGACCCTGTGGGTTTGATTGGGCATAAGATTCATATAGTCCTTGTATTCCCTAACCATCAAGGCCTTCATATTACCCTCATTTTACCCCAACCTCTAACAAAGTACCTTTGTTGTAAAAAACCAAAAACGAGTTATTTTAAACAAAAGATGTAGTGTGTTACAATCTTGCTGCTAGGAATGACACCATGTCCCTAAACCTATTACTGCCCCATAGCATCCCTAAATTCCTTCAGTGTCTTATGGAGCACTGTGCTCCAGATCATGATTCCCCCAGGAGTGGCATCTGTGTGGGACTGCAAGGGTTATGGTGGATTTCCTTAGTCCATGTGGTTTACATTTCTCTGTCTCTCCCAGCTGCCCTGCCCCCCTCCCCATCTTGGCTACCCTACCCAGTATAGTTTCTTCTTGTCTCTTTTATTCTCAGTCTAAGATCCAATCCATTCCTTTGTTCCCAAGTGAACTTGCTGTGTCCAGACTTAACTTTCAAAAAGCAAAGCTTTGCATTGTGTATCAGATGCGGCCTATCAACTGCTTCAGACCTTCTGGCCCCCTCGTCTTTCTCCAGCCGTTGCTACAGTGATGAGTTCCCCCACAGGCTTTGATTTGTTTCATGTAGGTACAACCTGGCAGCATCTTGCTTTGGGTCTGCCCCGTGGACCTTCTGTTTCCTACTCCAGGTAGATCCACTGGACACTCACATGTGCCTAGACAAGAAATGCAGAAAAGTGGGGCCACCCTTGACCAAAGGGAGACGGAAGCCAGTTGCTAGGTGCTTTTCTTTTTGGACTCCTGATGGAGAGCACTGAGACACTTTTTACGATGTTCCTCTGAAGGTCCCAGTGGCATCAGTTATGTGACTCTTATGCATGGCCAGCTCTATAACGTGTCCCTGTATTGGCCTTGCTCCTCACTGTTTTATCTGCTGTCTCACTCCTGCTCCCCAGGTTTATTCGCTGAATAAAATACCTGCAGGCAGGACTGTTTCTGCTTTCTTTTCAAGAGAACCCATGCTAAGAATTGTGGAAAGGTGATGGAGGTGGGAAGGGGATGCAGTGGGAGAGCCTGCTATTCTTTGGAGCCTTATCACCCAGGCTTAGTCTGTTATCCAAGTTGAGGGTGCATTAGGTAAGAAACAGAACATACCCAGTCGTCATTGCAGGCCGAGTCTTCTCTCTCCCCACGTGACCTGCTTCCTTCTCCCTCTGCTCTGATGTCCCCCACGTCTGTTCAGCAGAGCTCCCTGACCCTACCCGCAGATGCAGCATGGATTATGGCTTGGTATAGCAACTACTGAAGGATCCTCAACCTCTAGTCTCTAGGGAAGCCTCCAACTACACTCTGGGGTGCTAGGGAGAATGGCACATCCACACTTACTCAATAGTGAGAGACCCAAAGCCATTACTTCTGATCAAGGAACTAATTTTACAAAAAACAAAGTGTGACCGGGACCCATGCTTATGGAATTCACTGGTCTTACCATGTTCCCTATCTTCCTGAAAAAGAGAGGTGGTCTCCACTGCTGAACCTCTTGATCTTGTTTGGTGTATCCCAGGTTCTGGAGTCAGACAAACCAGCCTGTGGTCCTGGCTCTGGACCTGTTACATGTATGACCTTGGAGAAGGTCCTGAGCATGTATCTCTAAACCTGTTTATCCAACTGAGAACATGAAAGTCTTCTCTGGAGTGTCAATCAGATAAAGCATGTAAAGGACACAGTCTTGCAATTGCAATTTAAAAGATGGCAGCGACTGTAGTTACTATTCACTGGCCTTCCATACCCCAGCAGAGTTTGCACTGCCACCAGTATGTGCCTGTATTGAGGCTCTTACTGTGTTGTGTCTACCTACAGCAGTCCCTTCCTCTTTAGAACAATAAACACTGTCAGAAGACAATGAGTGAGATTAATGTATCTTGTGAAGAGTTATACAGGACAATAGAAATGAAAGTGTTTTCATGAACTGGTCAAATGCTAGTTAGAGGGGTTTTTCAGTCCAGCAGGGAAACTGACACAGAACCAGTTCTGAGAGGAATGGGTAAAGATGAACCAGCAGGCGTGAACAAAGTGCTTGGGAGCCACAAACTCTGCCCCAGAGTGTGGTTCATGGGTACTGAGAAGGCTCTTCAAGGAAGTGGAATTTTTGTCTGGACATGAATTCTAAGTCAGTGGAAAGAAAGATGAGGGAAACTGATGGAAGAGCCATTCTTTAGGGAGAATAAAGAGAAACTTTAAAAATTAAGTATGTTAGAAGCAGGGTGATGCCCATAAAAAATAAAAAAATAAAATTTTAAAATGGAATCACAAATAGGGGCTAGTGTTGGTAAGACTAATGTATTAGCTGCCAGGACTCCTGGGATGGGGCTTTCCAAAGCCTCAGGGAAAGGACATTGAGGACAAGGCCTGGAGGTTGAGAAGAGGACAGGACACAATTGACTGGACAGTGAAGAGATCGGGGCACACAGAGGCCTGGGAATAGCAATAAAATGACTGGCGAGGTCTCTGCATGACCAGGGTGAGGGGGTGGATGAGTGGTGTGAGACGATTGATTGATGTAGCCAGAGATATAAAAGAAAGAGTTTAACATAGAGAGTTCTGAACGACTAACATGAGATTAGCTACTAAGGGATAAAGAGCACAGAAATAATTTTGGGAAAGGGCTCCTCAAGGCTGAGATTTAAATCTTGCTGGAGAGTGTGTGGCTGTAGCCGCTGGGTGGCAGGACACTTTTGCTGGGTGCCACAAGCCAAAGCTGGCAAGCAATGAGCTCCCCATTGAGGTGCCAGCAAAACGTGCCAGGGGTGCAGTTGAACTCACTGGGAATGTGGTTGGGGTCCTGCGAGCTCACTGGGCAGCTGCTTACATAGGGTAAGAGATGGGAGGCTGCTGAAACCCCTGGGATCCTGTGGTGGTGGCCACTGAACTCATTATGCCCTTGCCTCAGGCATGCCCAGGATATCCTGTGTGCCCAGGAGTTGTCTCCCACACACGCAGCCTCCACCTTCGCCTAGATGTGCATGGATCATTTATACCAAACAGGCAGTCTATACCACAAAGAATAACAGTTTCCACAAATTCCATCTTTTAAGTATTTATTAGACATTTACTGTGTCTGCCTCTCCCCACTTTGTATCCCTGCCCTGGGGGGCTCACAGCCAGGTCTCCTGAGGCCAGAGTGAAGAGGAAGCTCAGTATTTCTCAGGCAGGCCGTCAGGTCGGAAGTGATTGGGATCTTTGCCACTCCGGCCCCATTCATTGGCAGCCTGGTCAGCCAGCGAGTCCTCCGCACCATGGCCCAAGAATTGCTGAATATCTTCTCTGGCATTGCTGTAGTTAGGCACGAAAAAGGAGATTAATCACCAGGCAGGTGAGCAATAGCTCACCCTCCCACTCTCCCCACTGAAAGGGAGGGCTCTGGGAGAGGCTCAGACAGGCAAAGGATGGAGGGGTGAAAACACTGACCCTGCCTGGGCACGGCCCCACTCAGCCAGGCTGGGCACCACTAGGCTGGATGAACAGTGCCCAGAGACAGAGGGTGAGGAATCACTCACTCCCACCATCCACTCAGACCCTCACACTGAGCACAAAGGCAGAGAGAGGGCAAGAGGAGGAGGAGCTGCAACCTCTAACTTCTCTACAAGGAGCTTGTCTCCCTCCTGACAGTTCAAGGCAGGCAAGCTCTGCTCACCCAGCCCTGGTATCCCAGAAGCTCAGTTACCTGATCACTTTTGCAACCCAGGCACCCCCGGGTCCCCTTTGGGCAGCGTCATAGTTCCCCCGAGCGTGGAAGTATTTGTCTGCGCCGATGTAATTGGCTTCTCTCATGTCAGAGTAGGCTCTCCACATGTCCCGAGCCCCTGAAAAGGCACATCAGGAGAACATAAAGACTCTGAGAATCCCTTAAAGAGGAATGAAAGAAGGACAAATCTTCCACTGACTTCAAGCTTTCAGCCTGTGATCATAGCAGCCCTGGATACCACGGGTTGAGAAGCACTTTTCTTTATCCTAGTTGGCTTCTCCAGGTCCCCTGATGAAACTGCTTATGATAAGATCCAGGAGTGCACATGAATGAGGTGGTGACATAAAATACTGATGCTGAGAAAGGTGGCAGACACAGAGCACTTCTGCCCTGACTACTATATATATGTACCTGGAAATGGAACACACGTCATTGTGACCTGAGTTCCAGTGAGTGTTAGAGCATAAAAGTCCCTAAACCCTCTCTCAATAGGGTGCACTGCTGCTGTGGGTGGCTTGAGGAAGCAATAGAGCAGTGGTGCTCAGCCTTGGCGGCACTTTCTTTTTCTTTTTTATTTTTTTTTAGACAGAGTCTGGCTCTGTCACCCATGCTGGAGCACACTGGCATGACCTCAGCTCACTGCAACCTCTGCCTCCCGGGTTCAAGTGATTCTCCTACCACCGCCTCCTGAGCAGCTGGGATTACAGGTGCCTGCCACCATGCCTGGCTAAATTTTCATATTTTTAGTAGAGACAGGGTTTCACCATGTTGGTAAGGCTGCTCAGGAACTCATGACCTCAAGTGATTCATCCACCTTGGCCTCCCAAAGTGCTGGAATTACAGGTGTGAGCGTTGGCTGCACTTTCTAATCACCCAGAGAGAAACTGAAAGTTCCAATGCACAGGTCACGCCCCAGGACAGTTTCTTCAGACTCTGTTGGGGAGTTGCAGGCATGAGTAGTTCAGGTGCCTCCAAGAAGTGGCTGAGATTCATAACCATCAAGCTCTAGGATGTGATCAGTGATGCATCTACCTGGCAAGAGCTCTGGCCTCAAGTACAGCCAGGCTCAAACCCTTGCTCTGCCACCTGCTAACTGGCAGTAAGTTCCTGGGCATCAGCCTCAGCTGCTCTAAGCCTCAGCTTTCTCACCTTCAAAGAGGGGAAGATGCCTGCCTCACAGAGTCATTCTGAAATTAAATGGAAATGCTCTGGTCCTTGAGGGAGCTTGCTGCACATCAATTCCCATCTCCTGTCAAGAAGGCTGGGGAAGGAAAGGAAACAGAACAAACCAGGAAGGGAGCCCCTGACAGAGTGAGGCTAAAGGGCCCTGGACATTATCCCACTAGGATATTGAAGGAGGAAGGAGAAAGAAGACAGAAGTGTCAATAGCCTCAGTGAAACTCTTATGCGATTTGTGCTAAGGGATATTTTACACCAATTGCAGACCTCATTTTGCATCTTATACTGAAACAGCTCAGCTGTTCCTGGGAAGGATGATTGTTTTTTGTCTGAGTAACTGACTGACAATAATCCTCAACCCTCTAATCTGTTTAGCAGCTCCCCAGACACCTGGCACATTCTGCACATTGGGTAGCACAAGGCAAGGCAGCAGCACAAACGGTAAGAAAGCACAGAAGTACCCGTGTGCATTGTTACAGGATTCCCCCATCCCTTATCACACAGGAGATGGGATTTTGATAAACCTTGCAGCAGCTTCTGAAACGTGATGGATCCACTGAACACACCCTGAGAGCCTGCACTACGGGGAAAGGAGATATTCCCAGCAGCTCTGAAGGACCGAGGTGGGCAATCCAGCGAACGCTGGTTCATGGCAGGCCTTAGCAACGCAGACACTCGCAACCCTCTGGTTCAAAAGCAGCCTTCTGAAAGCGTCATTTCCCCCAGCAACTCTCTGGTTCAAAAGCAGCCTTCCGAAAGCGTCATTTCCCCCATTTTATCAGGTCCAGGTGGTGTTTCTCTTCAGAAATCCTGCACACCTTCTGAAGACTTACCACCAAAAGCCTCGCCAATGAAGGAAAACCAGCTGTGGACACCCAGAACCAAAGAGCAGAAAACCAGGCCCGTGAGAAGCTTCATGGTGCTGAAATGAAAGGAGAGGTCAGGCAGTCGCCTGCAAGAACCGAACACCTTCCCTTGGGACTTGTATTCTGAGAGCCTGGTGATTTCCACTGGCTCTTATTAGAATCTTAGTGGCTCATCTAGGAAACCTTGTAACAGGACCTCTTTCAGCGCCAGAAGCCCTCGGTTCTGAACCCATCAGCCCTGACTGTGTAAGAGGATGCCAGTGTGGCATTGATGGAGGAAGGCAGGAGTTATGACCAGACTCCCTCAAGCAGCCTATAATTCCCCACAACCTGTGTACCATGGGTTCCCTCTGCCCAGCACAGAACTCACACAGGATGAACACAAAGGGGATCACTACTTTTCATTCTTAAAGCCTTTAGCACCTGGTATTCCCAGGTGGTCTCTCATCCAAGTACTACCAGGCCTGATCCTGCTTACCTCCCTAGATCAGAGGAGGTAAGACACCTTCAGAATGGTCTGGCTGTAGGCCCCAGGATGACTGTTTTCTTTTGTTGTTATTGTTTTTATTAAACGTAAATGATAATCTTGTTGGGAAAGAGAAAACATAAAATTAAAAAAAAAAATCACTCTTTGGCATATTACTCACCTGATCTGTGCTGGAGCCAAGCTGCTGGTCCCTGCCTGCCAGGGAGAGGTGGCTGCTATTTATACTGAGCCTTCCCTGCTGGCCTCATGGGAGGGAAGTAAAGCTGGATGTGATCCCTGGGGAAAGTCCCTGCAGGTCATTTCCCCGACAAAACGGTCTAAGACAAGTTCCTGGACGCCAGTGGTTTCTTCATCCCGGGTCATTTATCCCAGTTGTGCAACCAGAGGGAACAAGACAGGTTTGCTGTGCCTTGGTAACTGTCAGGGTAGACCAGCTCTGCTCCTTAACACTGGGGGAGCTGAGGCTGCAGAGATGAGAGTGTGAGCCCTGTGAATGTGGCACCTGGGCTGCTGGACCGTGTATAATGATGGGTCTTCAGCCAGCTCCTGACCGTACCAGTCATTTCCTCAGGATGGTCCTTGCTGGGCTGAGATGTGGGTCTACAGCCTGCGGAAGTCTGACCTGCAGACCCTGACTCAACGACAGGTGAATGAATGCACTCTCACACCGTTACGGTGTTTCTAGTGGACCAGGGATGGATGTTGGCTGCTTTCAGAGGGTGAAATGCAACCAATTGACCCAGACCCTCTGTCTGTCACACATTTATTCCCAAGATTTTAAAACAGAGGTTCTAAGTTAACACTCTTGTGGATAATTAACATGGTTAAAGAGTGGTTATACGACTGATAAAAGCTTTAGGTTCGGGGACCCAGAGTAAATGCTATTAACAGGTAATTCCCCTTTGATCTTCCCAGGAGTGGGCCACCCAGCACAAAATTAACTTGAGTGAACAGTTGAGTGGAGACAAATGGGTGTAGGGTAAGGCCTTTGATCGTCCCTCTCTCTTCCTAACTTAACATAGTGGACCAGCAGGCCACATTTGGCCTGCCCCAATAAAACCTTTTGGCCTTCCAAAAGGTTTGAGAATATAATCTATAACTTTCCCTAATATATCTTTAATATTTTCCAACCACCCTGAGTGAATCTTGACACTGGGCCACATGGCAGATGCTTCTGAAATGAAGTCCCTTTGAGATCATGTCTAAAGCTTCAAAACTGACAGGTTAGGTCCAGCACAGTGGCTCATTCCTGTAATTTCAGTGCTTTTGGAGGCCAAGTCAGGAGAATCACTTGGGGTCAAGGGTTTAAGATCAGTCTGGGCATAATCGTAAGAACTTGTGCCTGCAAAAAATAAAAATAAATGAACCGGGTGTGGTGGTGTCTACCTGCAGTCCCAGCTACTCAAGAGGCTGAGGCAGGAGGATTGCTGGAGAGCTCAGGAGGTCAAGGCTGCAGTGAGCTATAATCACATCACTGTACTCCAGCCTGGGCGACAGAGCAAGACCTTGTCTCCAAAACAAAATAAAACTGACAGCCTAGCCCTGGCATGTCTCATGTGTGCCCTGGAAGGCTTCTTCCACCCCTCTAAATATCCCGAGATTCACCTCCTTGGCACAGAAAATCCCTGCTCAGCGGGCCCAGCCAATTAGCAAATGTGTCATGTAATCTGGCTCCTGAGCTTCTCAATATAGAGAAGGGGACTTTCTGCTGCCCCAGCCTGGTCCTGGAACCCTACATTGGGAGAGTGAAAGTGTGGTGCCATCAATTGGCAACCCAGCTGGGGCAGTGCCAGACTTCCAGGCAGTGGAGGGTTGGGGAGCTCTTGGTCTGCTGTATTACCCTGGAAGGGTACAGGGGGCACCCAGGTCACTGTCTCATGGGAACATCAGCAGGGTCAGACTAGTTCTGCAGAGGCTGGTAGGGGAGCACGGTGGTCAGAGAGGGGTCAGTACCAGAGCCCAGCAGGGCTGAGGCCAGGATATGCAGAGAGGCTGGTGGACATAGCAGCTCCTCTGGTTTCTTCTTCTCTAGTCCATTTTCACTCTTGGTTTTTCTTTCCCTCCCTCTCTCCCTTCCTCCTTCCCTCCCTTCCTTCCTTCCTTCCTCCCTCCCTTCCTTCCTCCCTTCCTTCTTTCCTTCCCTTTCCTCTCCTCTCCTCTTCTCTCCTCTCCTCTCCTCTCCTTTCTTTTCTTTCTTATTCTTTCAAGACAAGGTCTTGATCTATTGCCTGAGCTGGAGTGCAGTGGCACGATGACGGCTCACTGCAGCCTCAGCTTCCCAGGTTTAAGTGATCCTTGCATTGCAGCCTCCCAAGTAGCTGGGACTATAGTTGTTTGCCAACACATCTGAGTAATTCAAAAAAATTTTAGTACAGCCTGGGCAACACCATGTTGCCCAGGATAGTCTCAAACTCCTAACCTGCAATCCTCCTGCCTTGGCCTCCCAAAGTGCTGAGATTATAGGTGTGAATTATCATGCCTGACCGGAAGTTCATATCTGATTGCTTCTATGTTTCACTGAAATAGGAAGCCAAGTTGTCAACTGAGAAGAGAATGAATGAGGAGTTATGGGAAGTTTCAGGAGAGAAGAGAAGTAAAAAGTGGTCATTTAGGAGAGAAAGAATATGATTGAACTTGAGAAAGGTAGCGGATTGTACAGTAGCTCAGATTAATGGCCATGAATTTAAAGTGAGACTAGTCATAGCAGTCATGTTTTTTTCTGATCACATTCAGCTGCCAAGGTTCAGACTTTTAGCAAGTGGTAAACTGGATATCACTGTGCAATAAGTGCTTGTTTAATTGCATGAATGAATACATGCAAAGGTCAAAGGAGGAGAATTCATTTAAAGATGAGGGAGGAGGGAGGCCGAGGCGGGTGGATCACGAGGTCAAAAGATCGAGACCATCCTGGTCAACAAGGTGAAACCCCGTCTCTACTAAAAATACGAAAAATTAGCTGGGCATGGTGGTGCACGCCTGTAATCCCAGCTACTCGGGAGGCTGAGGCAGCAGAATTGCCTGAACCCAGGAGGCGGAGGTTGCGGTGAGCCGAGATTGCGGTGAGCCGAGATTGCGCCATTGCACTCCAGCCTGGGTAATGAGCGAAACTCCGTCTCAAAAAAAAAAAAAAAAGATGAGGGAGGGTTACAGGGCACCGGGAGAAAGTTAACAGAGAGAGTGACTGAGGGAAAAGATAGGGCATAACAGACTTCAGTGACCAAGGGCCCACAGGGCCACTGGGGACAAGGTTGCCCAGAGCGTAGCAGGAACAGATCTTCCTCTGAGACAGGAGGGAGAGGAGAGAGAACAAGGAAGATGCATTTTGAAATGGAGGACAGAGGGGCTGGGTGCCGTGGCTCACGCCTGTAATCCCAGCACATTGGGAGGCCGAGGCAGGGGAATCGCTTGAACCCAGGAGGCAGAGGTTGCAGTGAGCCAAGATCCCGCCACTGCACTCCAGCTTGGTGACAGAGCAAGACTCCACCTAAAAAAATAAAAAGAAAAAGAAATGGAGGACAGAGATCCTGAGGGGAACCAGCAGGGCCTGTCCTTTACCTGTCATAGGACTCATCACTCTCAACCTGTTGGCATTTCTGAGTTTGACCCAGAGTGCACAAAACACAGGTATAGAAGCCTTGTCAGGCTTATTGACAGATGAACTATTGTCTCTTTAACATCAAACACAGCACCTCACCTGTAGCAGGTTCTCAGTAACTTTTATTGATTGAATGAGTCAATGCATGAGTGAAGTAGAAGAAGTCATCTGGAATAGATCAACAGTTTGAAGGTTAAGAAGAATGGAAAAGCTTTGCAACAATGATATATAGTATTAGTCATTTAGAGATGAACATGGACATTGTTAAGATCATTAAAATATCAGCCTATTTGAAATGTTTACATTCATTATTGAAAAACATATTCAGAAGGCAAACCCTTATCACCTCTCTGAGGCTCCCAGAGAGATGTTATGAGGCATCATCTTCTGGGTTATGATGGCTTCTTAACTGGCTTCCACATTTCCACATTTGCCGCCAGCTAGTCTCCTCCAATATAGCAGCCAGACTGTTACAACACAAGACAGCTGCTATCACTCGCAGCTCAAAACTTTCCAGAGGATTCCACTTCTACTCATAGTTGAAGGCAAAGCCCTTATAATGGTTTCCAAACTTTACTTAAACTGACCCAGCTCCTTCCTCTCGTACCTTATCTAATCCACTTCTTTCCTCTCGCTCCTGCTCATTTTGCTCCAGCCACACTAGTCTGCAACCCCCCAGGCACATCATACCATAGGGGCATTGGATTAGCTGTTCCTTTCCTCTGGAACATTCTTTTCCCAGATATTTGCATATTGGGGCTTTGAGGGGGCCATGATTCGGGAATCCAGGGTATGGGAAGGTCCAACAATGTAGTTATTGTCAATAAGAATATTGGCAGTGAATATTTTGGAAAGAGGGCTGTAAATGAACTGTGAAAATTTTTGATGAAGATGGGAGAGGATTGGAGTGTTTTGTCAACAAATAGAATAAAGAGATACTTTGTCTCCAAATATCACCAAGCAAATTAAGCAGAAGCATCTAGTGGGTATTTTAAGAATACAGATTCTAGGCTGGCTCACACCTGTGGCTCACACCTGTAATCCCAACACTTTTGTAGGTGGAGATGGAGGATGGGTTAAGGTCAGGAGTTTGATGGCAGCCTGGGAAAATAGCGAGACTCCATCCATTTTTAGAAAAAATTGTCAATTAGCTGGGCATGGTGGCATGCTCCTGTTGTCCTAACTCCTTGGGAGGCTGAGGTAGGAGGATTACTTGAGCCCAGGAGTCTGAGGTTACAACGAGCTATGATTGCACCACTGCGCTCTAGCCTGGCAACAGAGTGAGATGCTGTATCAAACAAAACAAAACAAAACAATAAGCAGATTCCGAAGCCAGAATCTTGGAGGTCTCGATCTCAGTTCAGCACGTTGGGGGTGATCTTCAGGAATTCGTGTTTGAAAATCTCCCTGTTTGGAATGACTTGTGCAGATAGATGGTAAGACTGGAGAGAAGGTGGCAATGAATTTATCAGGGACCTCAAAGAGGACACATCAGAGAGATTTGGGGGTGAAGAATGGAGAAATGGTCGTGGGGAGCACAGAGGACAAGGACCCCTCTTTCCCATTCTATCGTTTAGGACGAATTGCAGGAGGCATAC